TGTGTAGGTTACAAAAGCACATGCTCGTTGGAGTACCATCCTAACAGATTCTATTTCACCATGAGCGTAAAATTGATCCCTCAAATCCTGCTCAGAAATTCTCTCATCAAGCCCACCTACGTATAGAGTTCTTATGCTTTCATCCTCAGGAGGTTCCAGGGAGGGCATCTCTCCAGCCTTGTTAAGCAGCTTCATTGCCACTGGATCATTGACTCTGCAGATAATTAAGATGAGATGTGAGTGTTACAAACTTCAGAAATCCGTACATTGCAGTACACGGGCATGTGAAAACATGCAACAGAAAGATTAGGGATATAGGTTTGTGAAATGTTGGCCGAAAATGCTAGCTAGAGGCTGCAGTAGTACTCTTATCACCTCCCAAACTGAAAAAGAAGCTACAATCTTCAGAATAAATATCTTGAACTATGAAATATTGAAAGAGGAAAATGTTTAAACAAAATAACCAACAGGAGAAGGGGAAAAAAGGGGGCTTCATCTACTACTTGCAAGGAAATTACATCTACCAATATTTCAGACAAGAATTTCATTCCCAACTGAAAAAAGTAGACTTTAATCTGAGGAAATAATAGAGTGGAAAATACTAAACATAAGAAACAATGCTAATCAACAAACAAATTCACAAGTTTACGTAGCCAACTGTAACTATAAGAAAAAAACATGCAACTGGAAATTCATGCTTCATTGCCATACTGAGAACAGGAAATATGAAGCATTGGACATACCCATAGTAACGATCTTTGATGTTTTGTTGTGACAACTCCCCAGTTATGGGCATTTCGTGCCTGTAAGGACACTCAGCACCTCGTGTACACTCACCCCGAATGTAGAAACTGCAAACATGTGCTCTGTTCCTTTTGTAATAGGGTGTTGTTCTTTGAAGCTTCAGAATAGTGTCACTGGGTCGTGCCTTTCCGTACGAAGATTCGTAGTCTATACCAGCTCTAGCCTGCACACCAATCAAAATTAAAATTAGTCACTAAAGGATTCCAAAAGATTTACATAACTTAGTACCCTAATCAAGGCAAAGACAGAAAAGTTACCTTTCGGTCATGCTCCTCAGCAAAAAACTCCCTATTTACATCACTCTTTGGAATGGCATCGTTGGAACTGATGGCCAGAGCAGTATCTCGAACCTGAACTGGCAAGCCATATTCCAGATCCAAGAGGCAAACTTGACAAACATTTTTCAACTTACTGCACGTCTGACAAATCTCTGACTTCTTAAATCGAGCATCACGACCAGGTCTCCACCTGAAAACGGTGAATGGCCGAGTGCAAATCTTGCACTCCTTGTCGTAATCAGCTCGTGTCATCCGGACGTAGGGATTGTCGCCCAAGCATGACTCGCAGATGATGGGAAAGTCTGAACGTTCCCAACCATCCGCCTCCACATTCCTGAGCAACCTGTGCGCCATATAACCTAGCAAACAAAATTTCCCAAAATCACTTAGAATTTCGTCAATTTATTGGTCTCAAATTCAGCTGAGTTAAAACAAAATATAACTGTTCTTTTTCCCTCTCACACACAATATAAATACAAAGCCAAAAGCTAGAAAAAGATACTAAATCCTTAACCAATGAGGTAATCATTTACATCCCTCTCACACACGACATCATCAAACATTGCTTCTATTTGGATTTAAAAGACTGAAAAATAAAAAATCAATGAATAACAGACATAGAAGGCAAATCAATATGAACCAAATAGAAACCCTAATTCACCTGGAGATGAGATGGTCTGACTGCTGTCGCGATGAGATAGCCGGATAAGACCACCGGTCGCCGCTGGGGTTTGGCGCGCTTGGGTAGGGCCGAACGGTGCGAGCTCAAGCGTGAGGGTTATAAAATTTCAGAGGTGCGAACAAGGAGATCATCGATGGTCCACTCACAAGCCAAGCCGAAACGTAAAGCTCTTCCGCTCTCGCTGTTTCGCGCTTTGGCTCCCTTGGAGATGACACGGGCTCGTTCGCTGAACCCAAGACTTAACGGCCTAGTGCATTTTATTTCCTTTTGACTCCTTCGGAAGCCCATTAGATTTCACATAATTTTTATAAAAAAAAATTATATTTTTGTTTTTGTTTTTTGTTTAAGTGTTCAAACCGCTCTCTTTTTATTTTTATTTTTACTCGAAAGGGAAAAAGAAGAGAGAGAAATTTCTCTTATGAACCATTCAGCAATCTGCATATTTGATCATAGAGAAGTAAAAAAAAAAAAAAAAAAAAAAAACAAATTTTTGATATGCAATCGATATTGAGGAGGCGAAATAGAACACAATATGCATAGATAAACGTTCTTAACCACTTGCTTTTCAAGTCCCTTATAATTTTTTTTAATTTTTTAATTTTAATCATCACATGATATAGAGAGCTTCCATTGAGGGATCTCTCAAATAAGCTTATTTGAGGGACGTCCATTGTAGGCCCAACTCCGGATTATATTTCACTAATTCAAACAGTCTATTTTGTAGATACTCATTCAAAGATCACATCTACAAAAAATCATTTGAATCCGATATCATTTGACCACTCAATTGAGTTATTCAAATTTTAGTACTTTCTTGAAGTACCGTGTTCATTGATTTTGTAAGACACAATTGGATGTTGAAACAGTTTCCGATTTGTCTAATTTTTTGTAAGGATGATCTATGAATGAAGACCTAAAAAATAGATGGTTTGGATCATTGGGAAAAAAATTGTAAGGTACCCTAAATGGCGTCCCTCAAATAAAATTATTTGAGAGATCCCTCAATAGAAGGGGACTGTGTATATATATATATATATATATATATATATATAAGTATTATTAAATATATTTGTAAATTTTTGTGCAAATCTGTGTATGTGCAACATAGATGGCATTTTGAGGCAAAGGCGAATGAAAAACTATTTGCTAAGATGTCAAGTTGTCATAATTCGCCTCTATTGCTCTTGATTCCTACTAGCAATATCTGTTGTACCAACGGGCCCAATAGGAGTCCACTACTTGTCCAAGCCATGTACTGATATTATCCCCACCTTAACCACTTAGGAGAGAGAAGGCCCAATAGACCTCTAGGTGTGAGGTTTTATCACAAAAGGCCTCTGTGCAATTAGGAGTGAACCACCTATATTTAAATTGTAGATTATTGTTGTATTCTCAGATGTGGTACTTACACATCATGACTTGCATTTAGTCACCTACACCAACAATCTCCACCTTGGCGTGATTCCAGCCCATGTAACTCGCTCGTTCACAACACCCGCAACTTTTTGAGCATGAGCCACCCACAACTCCACATCTTTCGACAAGGATTTTCTTGAGTCTTGCTAGGAGCCTTTGCTCCACTAGCCCACTCCACCTTTCCTCGTATGTCCAGGAAATTTTACTTGAGTTGCCTCCTTGAACATGTTAATGGCTCCACCTTGAACCAAATGTGTTTTAGCCGAACTTGACTTTGATACCAATTGTTGTACCAATAGGCCTAATAGAAGTCCACTACTTGTCCAAACAATGCATCGATATTGTCCCCACCTTAACCACCCAAGAAAGAGAAGGCCCAATAGACCTCTAGGTTGGGTTTTATCATAAAAGTTATCGATGCAATTAGGAGTGGACCACATATATTTAACTTGTAGATTATTGTTGTATTCTTCGATGTGGAACTTACACATCATGGCTTATATCGAGCCATCTACACCAACAATCTCCACCTTGATGAGATATAAGCCAAGATAACTCACCCGTCCATAATCCCCCCGCTTTTCAAGAGTGAGTCCCCACAACTTCACCTCTTCTGACAAGTACTTTCTTGACCCTTACTAGGAGCACTCCAACTACGCCGAAGATTTTCTTGAGCTTTATCAGGAGTCCTTGCTCCACCTAGTTAGCCGTTATAATGATTTCCTTGAGCCTTTGCTCTACTAGACCACTCCACATTTCTATGCCCGTCCAAGAATTTTAACTTGAGTCGCCTCCTTGAAAATGTCAACGACTCCACCTATAACCAAGTGCATCTTAGCCAAACCTGGCTATGATATCAATTGTTGTACCAACGGGCCCAATATTAGCCCACTAACTATTCAAACCATTCATCAATATTGTCTTCACCATAGCCACTTAGGAGAGAGAATGATCAATGGACCTCTAGGATACATAATTCATGTTGTTTGTACCATAACTGACCAGCCTCTCAAGGCCATCTAGCCTACGCTGGCAAGCCTAGCCTAGCAATTGGTAGACGCTTTCGGCACCCCTGCTTATTCAGCCTCCCAGAAGGTATCGTGTAGGAATTTCATGAGTTCTTCACTGGTATATTCGCTCAGACATGTGGCAGCCTCTCATGCTACTCCCACGAGTCTTACATCGAAACTTCACACCAATAGGACACCCAAAACCTGTATAAAAGAACCATTTGCCCCATGGTACAAGATAAAAGTTCTACTTGACACTTATGCCCCTGCATTGTCAATAGTCAACTCTTCTCTCCTTTGGCTAACTTTAGCATCAGAGGGCATTCGGCTAGTATCACGCTGGTGCCTTAGGTCTTACCAACCACTTTCTTCTATCTCTTTGCGTAGATCACGCTCTACTTACTGAAAGGAAGCCCTTATTGAAGGTAGATTCGATACCTCGATCATCCACCTCAATTGTAAGTTTGTCCCACTATTACTGGTCTAGTTTTGGGCACTAACACAAGTTAAATTTCTAACGTGATTGCTCTTGGCTATATGATTGAATATGAGCACAATTAGAAGACTCTTTCTCAATTGCGCTCCGACTCCGCCGGAGATTCGTGAATCATATCTCAAAACATTATCTCCCCCTTATTGGAAGTCAAAATCCTTTGTTGTACACTCAACATTATGATACAATCAGAGACCAACTACACATCCATAAGACAACCATGGTGCCTCATATATAAGGATTAACCTTGCGTTATTGCAATCGAAGAAATCTTGTTTAACATACCAGTAGAACTTCCATACAATATTCCTTATACGTCAATTGTTGAATAACATCCCACCAATTGCCAAATGACACCTGAATCTCTGGGACTCACCCCAATTTCCAAACAACACCTCCCCAATTGCACAATGGCACCCTAGATAACACTTCTCTACATACGGCAACAACACATACAACAGCATCATCAGTACCCATTCAACACCAAAATGTCTCACCAGCAGGAGCTTGCCAAACGAGATAATTCCAACGGCACGTGATATCGGCACCACCCATATAGCGCATTACGATTCCATCAGCACCATGCCCTATGGTGTGTTGCGTTGTCGATACCATCTCCTCTAAACTTGTCAAGACACCAATGGGCTACGTTTATATTTTTAAATTTAAAGAAATGGATGCCTACATTTGTATCCCTGACCCAGAGGTCCACTAGATAAACATTGGTATCGTAATATCATGTCCATGGGCTTCAAGGGGAGATTTGTTTTTCTTGACCATTTCCGATGAGTGGGTTTCTTATGTTTATATGGTTTATCAAAGTAGTCTACTTGTAATGAAATTATGTTGATGAATATATAAAAACATCTGCATGATTTGTAATATGATATTCTCTTTTATCCTTGTAAGCTAACTAGGCTTTTAATTTTGGTGAAATCATAAATAGTTATAAGTTGCAGCCAACCTGTTTTAAATAAATGATTTATTGCCTTTGCTAAAATATATGCATTAACTCAATTCCAAAAGAAAAATTAAAATAAGTTTTATACTAAGAACAAAATATGCATCAACTCAATGTCAAATAAGTATGATGTTACATGAAACGCTCAATCAAGGATATCAACCAAATGAGGTGCATGTACAGTCCAGTGATTAAAGAAAAAGAAAACAAAATGAAACAAATGACCAGTCTAAACAAAATATTAGACGCGCAAAACACCATCCTTCTGAAATTGTTCCAGACCAAGTTGTTACATTTGAGCTTCCAATTGAGGACTCAAAAGCTTCGATTCGAGGATGATTGAAGTAACACAAAGGTTTTTAAATATCCAAATATTTTGAAAATATTCCAGCTACAATGTAAGAAAAATTAGTAAGGGGAGATAGAAGAAGCTCTTTACAGTTGCAAAGTTGGGAGAACCCAAATTAGTGGTCGATCGGCCATCTTCTTCAGTAGGGTCCTTGCAAAGTTGAGACAACTTCTTGAATCAGCGAATACCTTTCATCAACAAAAGTCCACGTTGTGTCCTTGCCAAGTCTAATAAATGCTAATTGCAAAATTCTTCTCTACGACTATTAACCAACCTCTGGAAGACCCACAAAATCTCTTATTTGGCACTCTTACTTGCAAATCCAGTAGCTTGTCATCCATGACATTGTATACTCTCCATATATTTTTATTGCCGGTTGGAATCAAGAGCAGTGGAGGAGAACGATGACAACTTGACATCTTAGCAAATTGTTTTTTATTAGCCTTTGCCACACCGTGCCATGACATATAAACAATACTGGATCGCACATAGTCTAGCGGCGACGCTAATCTCTCAAAAACTAAACTCAAGAGATGGTGAGGCAATCCTGCCCAATCTAGAAGAAAAACAAAAGAAAAAAGAACGTTAGAGAGATAACAAGGAAGAAGAATGAAACAGTCCAAACTAGATTTTGGTTTATGTGTAAACTAAAACACCCTTGAAATTAAAACCGTGTTATTCACTTAATAATGAGTACAAATTGCAATAGCTACGTAAGAATTTGTTTAAGAAAACTAAAAGAAAGAAGGAATATAAGAAGACAATAATTTGTTTGAGAAAATTTTACCTAAAGTCATACTCTAAAATCCAGAAGAAGAATTTTCTTATTTGCTGAAATAATCACCAAGAAGATTGAAAGAAGCTGCCCATTAATCACCAAAATTTCTTATTTGCTGAAAGACGTTGCTTTGAACGTAACGTGCTAGTACTAGTAAATGACTGATAGGTTATACCTGATTTCGTGTTCTATCCTCCTTAATTAAGGAATATAATTACAATGCGCATAGGATTAGGAGATTGGTCTCATCTCATCCGTTGGAAATTAGGAAACCCATTTGGACTAGTACCTACCCTTATTTATACCTATTTTCTTGTTCTATCCTCCTTTATTAAGGAATAGAATTACAATGCCCATAGGATTAGGAGACTAGCCCCATATCATCCGTTGGAGATTAGGAAACCCATTTGGGTTTTGTAGAGAATGTGGTACCAACCTTCGAACCCAAGACCTACTAGGAGTTAGTGCAAGCGCACTTAACCACAAGGGCAGGTTGAAGCCCAGTGGGAAACCCATTTGGATTAGGCTCTCTCTCAAGCGCACTTAACCACAAGGGCAGGTTGAAGCCCAGTGGGAAACCCATTTGGATTAGGCTCTCTCTCAAGCGCACTTAACCACAAGGGCAGGTTGAAGCCCAGTGGGAAACCCATTTGGATCAAGGGCAGGTTCAATGAGTGTCAGTATCTTGTAGCGCCACATGTCATTAATATTTCATTTTTGTGAGCTTATCTTAAAAAATTCAAGAAAATTCATTACAAAAATTAGAAAAATACACCGAAAATCTTCTAAAAATTAATTATAACATAATCTTTGACTCTGATGCAAGAAAATCAAATTTTAACATAAGGAAATTTGAAGTAATAATTGGAGGAAGAGTTATAGTGATGAAGAGTGACCTTAACTTAGTGTTATTGTTAGTAGTGAAGCAAACTTGAATTAATTGTTTAGAATTTTTTTAAAATCAAACATTTAGCCCATCATAATCGAAGATAATGTCACATGGAATTTGTAGAAATTAAGGTTCGATTTTTTCAATTAATTGTTTCACAATTTTTAAAGATAAACATATATAAAATGAAACTCTAATGAGAAATGGCGCTACGCAAAATGATGCCTGTTAGAAGCATTGATGATGCACTCTTCCAAAAACCATAGTATTTCATTAAATAGCAGAAGAATACACACCCAAAAAAATTCTACAAACTCAATGTGAAACTTTCTACGTCTAGTTCATCTTAAAACATTCATAAAAGTGCTAATGAAGACTTCTTAGTCAAAAAATAAAAATAATATTATGAAGCTTTAGTGAATAATAAATGAAGATATGTGGAAGCTCTTGTGAATCCTTTTGAAGTGTTTACGAAAGATATTTTGTTGGCAAACAAGTAATGATGCAGCATTGCAATTATGACTTGTGCCATTTCTCTATTATTTGTAAAATCCATTATTTGTAAAAATTATAAGTGAATCCTTTGAATCGTTTACGACTCATATTTTATTGTGAATTTTAATCCTAACGTTTATCTATAGAAATTGCTTGATTACAGGATTGTACTCGCCTCTGTGAAACATAGTTCAAACCCAGATTCCAATTTATACCTGCAACATACAAAGTTTACATAAGATATACTAAAACTATTACGACAACATGAAGATACAGACCTGATACCCATATCCATACTACTCACACTATCATAAACACATTAAGATACAGAAATGATATCTACCAACACTATTGTCAACACATTAAGACACATAAATGATATCTACTAACATTATTGTCAACACATTAAGATACAAATGATACCTACTAACGTTGTTGTCAATACATTAAGATACAGAAATGATACCAAATTGGAGGGGAAAAACAAGCTGCATAGAGAAGGCAGTAGAGCATTAGAGAGCCACATAGTAGACAAAGATCCACAATCATGGGGTTATTATAACTTTGAACTCTAGAAACTGCCTTTTTATTTTCATTATCAAACAAAAATAAAAAGGTGTCAAATTTTCTTTTATATGTTTTCCTATAGTCGCAACAATCTCATTCTGTTCTCTTATATCTGTCACAAACCTCAACACCACCAACTACCACCTATATTTCTCTCTTTTTTATTTTATCATGCAAATAAGGTCCATGATTGAATAGCAAATATAAGAGCAGAAATACAAACCAAGCCTCTTCTCAATAAAATTTCACCAGACATGCAATACAAAGAAGCATGAATTTTTGCAAAACAGTGAAAATGAGAGCACTAAATGAATGGTAAGACGTGAAAGTATGTTAAATGGGAAAGGAGACGCAGTAAACACAGTAATCAAATGCAGATACACCTCAACTTTCCAGTTCTTAACCAAAAAACCAATCCAAATGAAGAAATTGGACCAATCTACAAAAGTTATCATTATACAAAAGTTGCACAGTTATAATAGGATTTATAAGTTCTCAATCAGTACATGGAAGGAAAAAATTTCATTAAAGCAAAACCTTACTAACAAGAAACTTAAGATGCAGCAACCATATGATGGCATGAGATGAAGTAAGATACACTGGGAGATCAATCACATAAATGCAACAATTATTTAGATGCTATTTATGCATACAATCTAAAATGCTAATAGACAAGCATTACATGTCACTAACAAAAACAATGCAATAGATAGATGTTTAGTGCTCAAACCTTTGCTAACTGAATAAAAGCCTTCTCCCAAGCCAATGCCTTTGCATTCTCATTTCCTACATCATCAACTGCATTATTAACTGGGTAGGTGACAATGAATGCAGAAGCCTGAAATTCGAAGATCATCATAGAATTAGTGGATACACATATATCTGAGAAAAGGATCATTAAGCTACCTCTGTATAGTTGTTTCCTGAAAATCCTCCCAAGGCAGTGCTTGGATCAAGTGGAGCCTGAAATGCGCTCAAACATGTGACATGTGCCTGCAGAAGTATAATGTTGCAGGTGGGAAAATGATGGGGATGTACATCAGAGTATTCAACACTAATGCTTTTAGAATAAGCTTTTGATGGGTTAAAAATAAGCAGACAGTTATCCTTTAAGAAGTAGATAAATAAAAACCTTCAATCACTGTCTGAAAGGTAAAAACTAGGTTGTTACTGCAGTTTACCTGAAAACAATACTCGGCATGTACAACTCCTCCGTAGCTGTCATAATTTTCAGGGTCCATCTTAAAATACTACCAAACAGAGAAAAGTAAAGATTATAAAGAAGAATCAAAGAAAACCCATTTAAGCCAATACCAAATTGAATTCATATACAGAGCAATTTTACATATAACCCATCAAACTATAAACTAGAGAAATCCACCATTTCTACTGAAGATTTTAGGGTTTCTTTGATAAAAGCGGAGGAATGAAGGAAAAAAGGCGGGATTGGAAAAGGCGCGTGAGGACATGTGGGCTAAGAGGTAAGTGTAGCGTACCCATTTCTACGTTAAGCTTGCTTTTTCTCTTCAGCCGTTTAGATTACTTTGGATGGTTGAGATTGATTCTCATATAAGGTTCTCACCTGATCCAAACCGAATAGGCATTCTCTCTCCAAGTCCAACCCAACACTAGTGCCCAATAACATCACCAGCCCAACCCACCACCGTTTGGATTGGACACGCATATGGTCAGGTAACGTTTGGATGCCAAGCATCCCTTTCAAATCCAATTTCCTCAAATTTTTGGAGCGGGGCCTACTGAACCCACTTAATTGATTTTTAATTTAATTACTATATTTCTGAAGGCAACTAAACTAATAAGTAAACCTCCGCCAGATTCCAAAAAGATTTGGGTAAGTCTGCTACAAGTTTATTATTATTAAAAAGAAGAAGGAGAAGATACAAATTAATTACTACGTTTGAGAACCTTCCAGATTGTTGTGTGTGTTACTAAACTAGGTAAAAAAATAAATTATTATTATTTCTACAACCTATAACTCTCCATGGCAAACTTTGCTATTCTCAACATCGATCACCACATCAATAATGATCAGAGCCAAGCATCTCAACACTCTACTACTTCTATTTTTGAAAACCCACATGCTTTAAGAATTTATAAGATAAAATTATTTTAATTTTTCAATTCACTCAATTAGGATGACGTATAAATTCTAGGCGGGTTTGCATTTGGTTTATGTTTAAGAACTTGGTCTTTGCTTAATTTCCCTCTTTTTCTTAATCTCCAAATTTCATCCTTTAACTACTTTATTACAGACAGAAATAGAAATAATTTCTATTAACAAAATAATAAAAAACTATTAGCCTATTATGGATGGAAATGCCATCTGAAAGAAACAAAAAAGGAAGTTGGGAAAAACAATAGCCGAAATGCACAGTAATAACAAAAAAAATTCAAGGCCCCTGCCCTGTCCCACACACTAATCCAAAACATTATAAATAAATAAATAAAATGTTTAATTCTGCGATTAAATTTAAGGCCACTCCACTAATAGGCAGAAATTAAAATATAACCAAAAAAAGAAAAAGATAAATCAGAATTCTGAACCAAAAAGAAAGCGGATAAATCAGTAAAAAAATAAAAATAAAAATAAAAACAAGCGCGCGTGCACACGCGCTCGACGGGGGATCGTCTGCTCCCCAACTCAAGACGACACGCATAACAAACGTGAGACGAGACGAGCCGAGTTGGTTGTTTGGCCGGCAAGAAAATTCACCCGTAAGAAATCTAGGCTACAATAGTATCTAAATTCAGACATTCATGCATGCATTTCATATGATTATCATCAAATCAAACACCTGTTGTGTTGATAGCTCATACTATCACTGTGAACCGAGTCCCTCGACGACTTGTATATTGAGCCGATCAGACCCTTCGGGAAAATGTGACAGATCAGAATGAGATTAGTAGTCAGGTATTATTTGTCCAACCCGACCACTATATCACCATAAAAGCATCAAGGACCTGATTAAGCACGGAAGCTAATTAAATGCACGTCCCATCCCCGAAACAGATGTCGTCACATCCATTAAGACCTCAGAATGAACAGACAAGTGATAGGAAGAGATCATTTATTACATCTCTCATCCATGATAGCTTGTTACTTCACCACCTGGCCTCTGACCAGCATTAAGGTGATCAGAGACAGAACATTCAATGCAACTAGGGATAGAGAGGCATGAGATAAAATATCTTCTCTACAAATATCTTAAAACCCCTTTTCCCCTATAAATACCCTTCACCTACACCAAGACAAAGGTAATAACTCTTCATGTAGTAAAAGCCTGATATCCATTTTCTCCCAAACACAAGTTAGTTTCTGACTTAACCATCGGAGAAGGTTAAACTGGAATCAACTCCAGTTTATCCTTAATTCTGATATCGTTTCCAGTGTGCAGATTATCCTTCGAAGGTTGTTCACGCTCGAAGGCCCAGTCCAGGCCCAAGTCCTTGGATAAAGCCCCGATTATTTATACGAGAAGGATACAGAGTCCACATATGTCGTTTCTGTATCCCTCACACCATCATCACGGATAATGGCAAGCAGTTTGACTGCAAAACATTCCACGCTTTTTGCTCGGACCTCAAAATCAATCTTAGTTTTTCCTCCCCAGCGCACCCACAGGCAAACGGCCAGGTTGAAGCGGTAAACAAACTCCTTAAGCGAACGCTCAAGAAAAAATTGGGGGCTAAAAAGAGTGTCTGGTCTGAACTCCTACCTGAGGTTCTCTAGGGTTACCACTGCACCGAGCGCACTTCCACAGGAGAGACTCCTTATTCCCTAGCCTTCGGATCTGAGGCCGTAATCCCTATTGAGGTCGGCATTCCTACGCATCGGGTTGCTCACTACACCCCAGAGCAGAATGAAGAACAGCTTTGCCTCAGCATGGATCTGCTCGAAGAACACCGCCTTCAGGCCGCTTTCCATATCGCCACATATCAACAACAGGTTGCCCGGTATTATGACTAGCACGTTCGTCACCGAAGCTTTCGGCCTGGCGACCGGGTTCTTCGTCGAGTTCTCCTGGGCACCAAAGACAGCACCGCCGGAACTCTTGGAGCCAATTAGGAGGGCCCGTACCGGGTCCATAGTATCGCCCGACCTGGGACATATCGGCTCGAACACCTAAATGGCAAGCAGTTGCCCCATCCGTGGAACATCGAACATCTCAGGAAGTACTATCCTTAATTCGCGCGGGGTAGTCTCTCCTAGATGGACTATTTTGTCTCTCCATCTACTTTGTTTTTCTCCACGTCCGAGCACAGCATTGGGTTACCCAAGCTAGTCGTGTGCTTGGCTTACGCCAATATGTAATTTTACTTTTTCTTTTGTTTCGTACTTAAATGAATCTCTTTTGGTGTTTATTCTGGTCCGTGTCTCCGCGTCTTTATTCTTTGCACCTTTAGTTATCATTGTTATTTATCGTGTGATTCGGGAAACGCCTTTGGTCGGCTCTGCTTACACAAATATTGCACATGCATGTTCAGCAAACTCCTAATGACAAACACATATACATACCCTGCCATAATTAAATTCAGTACCTACTCAAAAATTAAGTCCAAATTGAGCAACCGCACATTCACATACATCGAGCCGACTAGTGGCCCGTCTCAGTAGTTCTAAAATATTCATACAAGTATTACAAAAATAATCTTAGCATCTCTCTCCTCCTACTCTAGTCTTCTCTTGCTTCTTCTGATGTAGGTCCTGCCACCTTAGGCCCTAGCACCCCGATTGATGGGGTCGGGTCGGCCTGTAGTCCTCCTAGTTCAGCACCTGTATCACCTCATTGGTTGTCGCCTTCGGCCCCCTGACCTGCCACCTTGGTACCCAGCATTGCCTCCACTTCAGTCTCTCCACGCTCACCTTACTTCGCGCCGACCTCGTCCGCTTCTTTGTCCAGGAAGCTCCAATCCAGGGACGGGTATTTCTCCCCTACTTTTTCAATCATATCGAAGAACCCTCGACTCTCTGACGGTTCAATTTCTCCTGATACTCCGCGGAGCCGAGGAAGTCATTCACCGCATCTTCATAGCTCGTTCGCAGTTCAGCTGCAAACGCTTCGACCTTCTGCTTCGATTCACTCAGCTCGGCCTTCACCGCCACCAGGTCCACACTCACGGCCCGCTTCTCATTGGTCACTTTGTTCATTGCCGATCGCAGCTCAGTGTTCTTCCTCCTCTCTGCCTCTAGCTGGCTTTGTGCAACTGACAGCTCCTTTTCTACCTTGGCTTTTTCGCCAATGGTCTTGCTCAGCTCAACAGCGGTGACAGCATGCTCGTCCCTTTTCCCGCGGTCAAATTCGCGGTGCGCCACCACATTATGGGCAGCAATGAAGAGCTTCAAAGTCGCCTACACCAACACATCTTGCTCACAATAGGAACGATTACATTCAACAAAGCACACATACAACCTCGTCAGAACATATTACCTTCATCTGATCCTCCAATGTCGCCATCATCATCCTGTTATACCCTATCTCCTCGGTAAACAGGCCCTACACGACCTCCACCTTTAGCATTCGCTTGATGGCCTCCTAGTATGAGCTGAGCACTAGTTCCGCATCTACCCAGGGCTCTAGCGGGCCGGTCACTGGGTCTACGCTCGCCCTCTTCCCCACCTCAGGGACTGATGCGATTATTGGCCTCTTGCATACGTCCCGCCTCGGCTCCTCTTCCACTCGTCTTTTCCCGACGTCCCTTATCAGTGGTTCCTCAGCTCGCCTTTTATGCCTTACCTAGGCAGCACCACCGACCGCGCCTGCTATGGTTGTTGCGCCGGTCGCCTGACTCTGAGCAACGGACATGTAGGGTAAATCCTCCCAAGGCAGTGCTTGGATCAAGTGGAGCCTGAAATGCGCTCAAACATGTGACATGTGCCTGCAGAAGTATAATGCTGCAGGTGGGAAAATGATGGGGATGTACATCAGAGTATTCAACACTAATGCTTTTAGAATAAGCTTTTGATGGGTTAAAAATAAGCAGACATTTATCCTTTAAGAAGTAGATAAATAAAAACCTTCAATCACTGTCTGAAAGGTAAAAACTAGGTTGTTACTGCAGTTTACCTGAAAACAATACTCGGCATGTACAACTCCTCCGTAGCTGTCATAATTTCAGGGTCCATCTTAAAATACTACCAAACAGAGAAAAGTAAAGATTATAAAGAAGAATCAAAGAAAACCCATTTAAGCCAATACCAAATTGAATTCATATACAGAGCAATTTTACATATAACCCATCAAACTATAAATTAGAGAAATGTACCCCGTCGTTCCCATTTGGTTGCTTCTGAAACCAATTGATGTTCAACACCTAAATGGACCCAACAAGCAAAATCAAACATAAAATCAAACTGGGTATTCTAATTCAAACTTTTTAAATCCTAGATCTATCAAAGAAAAGAGAAAGGACCTGGACTTGGGAAGTGGGAGTGGGGGGTTGAGATTATCAGAGATAGAGGCCATGGCACGCATGAGGGCCAAAATTATGATTGCGAAGGTTAGCAAAGCATTGGCTCTGTACCCAGATATCCAAGTTGGGCTGGAGGAGAGGAACTTGTAGCTGATTAAGTTGTCGGGATGTGAGGAAGGGGGTGAGTAAATGCAAAGCTAGTCGAGCTTGGAAGAAGAATTGATGTGAAGAAGGTGAAGATAATGAGGACGATGAAGGGGGATAGAATGTGGGAGTTTTTGGGTTGTAAGATTTTGAGGTGGAAATTTCAAGAAAGAATTGATAGAAGGAAGAAAGATATAGACATGTAGGAGAAGGGGACATGTATGGTAAACCACGGGCCTGTTGCGACCCACTCGCCGATCCCTTCTTGGCCATCTTCATCAATTTCGCCTGCATGCTCGAGTCGTTCCGGCTTGGCCTCATCCTTGCACAAACAGCGGTGTTATGGTGCTCGAATGTTTATCCACCGACCATCCTTCTTCGGCCTCATCCGTGCTCATCTCTCCTCCCTCTGACCCACCTGAGCTCCCCTCGGCCGCATCCCCTTCCTCTCTCACCTAGCCCAACCGGCATATCTTCACCCATTTGGTCGGCTGCTTCGAACATTTGCTCTACCACTCCCTCATCCTCCCTATCATCCCTAAACACCGATCGGCTGCTCGGCGTTTCTTGCAAGTTGGATAGGTCTGATCGGCTCGACATCCTTTCTACTGCTTTCCCACACATCAACACAATCACATATGGATAGGGACGGAATCTAAGTGTCAAAACGTACTAAACCAGAAACAATTGGACGAACCCAGACACACCAAACCCAGAAAAACACAACACAGTTTGGGATTTTGGAAACAAGAGACGAGAGAAACGCACCCACACATGGAAAGAAGTACCTTACCAGCACGATTCCGCTGCCTTCCGCATTCCTCCGCCTTCGCCTGTGCAAGTGCACTGGTCTACAGTTGATTGGAGCGTTTTTTCGAAGCTCTCACACCGGAAACAATGAGGACCAAATGGCACGCACGGCTGCCCTCTCTCCCATTTATATCAACGCACCCGATCATATCCACCGTCCATTTTCTGCCCACCACGGTTATGATGCTAACACGTGGCGATGTCAACCAGGCTATCAGCTGAAGCGACGGAACTGGACCGACACGACCCTTCGATGTCAGGGTCCATTAAATGCTCCTCCTTTCGGCCATCCCCCTTGAGCCACGTCACTTCTACTCGCGTGCCTCCCATTTTCAAAAAGCTGGCGCCATTACTGCCTGGTTTCCCAAGGCACCTCCTCGGCTGCAGATTTGGGGGGCTACACCCACCGACCCTAGCTAAAAGTATGGCAGGGGTCGGTTCGTGATAAAAGAGGAAAATCAAACAACTCCCCACCGTATGACGACTTGTATACCGAGCCGATCAGACCCCTCGAGAAAATGTGACAGATCAGAATGAGATTAGTGGTCAGGTATTATTTGTCCAACCCAACCACTATATCACCATAAAAGCATCAAGGGCCTGATTAAGCATGGAAGCTGATTAAATTCACGTCCCATCCCCGAAACAGATGTCACCACATCCGTTAATACCTCAGAATGAACAGACAAGTGATAGGAAGAGATCATTTATTACATCTCCCATCCATGATAGCTTGTCACTTCACCACCTGACCTCTGACCAGCATTAAGGTGATCAGAGACAGAACATTCAATGCAACTAGGGATAGAGAGGCATGAGATAAAATATCTTCTCTACAAATATCTTAAAAACCCATCTCCTCTATAAATACCCTTCACCTACACCAAGACAAAGGTAATAACTCTTCATGTAGTAAAAGCCTAATATCTTTTTTCTCCCAAACACAAGTTAGTTTCTGACTTAACCATCAGAGAAGGTTAAATTGGAATCAACTCCAGTTTATCCTTAATTCTGATATCGTTTCCAATATGCAGATTATCCCTCAAAGGTTGTTCACGCTCGAAGGCCCAGTCCAGGCCCAAGTCCTTGGATAAGGCCCCGATTATTTGTACGAGAAGGATACAGAGTCTACATGTTGACAGATAACCGATAGAGGTATAGCAATCAAAAGCCATCAGCGGCCAATCCAAGAACACATGGGCGTAGAAGAATTCAGCATATTCAAGCAAATTCACCAATTAGTTCATCATCGACTTATAAACCAGATAGAAAAATTCAGAAATTTTTTGAACTAGGAATATAGTAGATGGACATGTACTAAACTGAGTAGATAGATCTTCCGAAATGACGACCGGCGCTACCAAGTCCCCCAACCACGAACGCTGAGTTGTGGCCTCCACATTTCTGTAAAAGAAAGCCAAACATTAGTACTGTTAATTAAATTTTCCAAGTTAAACATATACTTTTGAAATTAATCTAGCAAAAGGAAACATTACCTTGCTGTTGGATGGAAGGTGATTGGCGTAATCCACGTCAATGAGGAAGTGTGCCTTGCAGGTGGAGCACACAGTGGTCTTCTTCTTCATTCCATGGATCCAGTTGCAGTGATCTTGAAATCCATCCGGGGTATGAAAGGTACGGTCGTAGAGGTTGCAGGGAAACAGCTCCTCTTACCTAGCCATTTTCGTCTCTCTCTTGCTTTTTCCCCTCTTCTCACACTAAGAATTGTTTGAGGACTCAGAAAATGGGGGTTTAGTTACTTAATCATGGTATGTTTATATAGCCGGAAAGAATGAAGATGGCACTCTGTTGTAGTGACTGGCTATTTTGCTTTTGTGTGGGTAAAATTGTAATTTACTTTTTTATTATTTATTATTTTTAAAAACAAAAAGAAAGCAGGTTGTGAATATATTTTAACTCTTTTATTTTAGGTGTGCGCATGTTGAGGTGTGAAGACCTTGGGGGAGAGGCGATGGAGGCCGGTCTTCGGTGGCAGAGACACCGAGTCCGTCGACAATGCCGTCGTCTAACTTATTTTGGGTATGTAGCTCTCTCTCTCCCTCGTATTTTGTATGTGAGCTGAAATGGGTTGTGTGCAGTTTTTTCCTTTGGTCTGTTTCTCTGCCTTTCTAGTGTTTTGGGGCTTTTCCACCATTAACTTTGGTAAGTACATTAATTGTTTAATAAGGGAGATTATCGTTTTGATAATGAGGGGCATTCTCCAAACAACCCCAAATAATAATAATAATAAGCGATAGCTCTCCCTATTATTGAGGTATTGATTAAATTTCTGCTCCAGGTACAAGTAAAGTGATGAATTGATGGGCCATAATAAGATGAATTGATGCTCCAGATAAGATAGGGATGTGCAGCAGCTGCGCATACCGTTCTATACCGGAGTAGAAGACCCCTTGACACACCTCCAATCCTTCCAATCGGCAGTCGGATGTAAAGGTCTCAGCAACGAAGGGCAATGCCTGCTGTTCTCATCCTCCCTTATCGAAGTCGCATTGAACTGGTTCTACCGTCTGGAGTTTGGAACTGTAGACTCCTTCGACGAACTAAAGTAGATTTTCCTTAACCACTTTATGATCCAGACAGACCGTCTGTACTCTGCCGATGACATGTACACGATTCGGCAGAGGGAAGATGAGCCCCTACGGGAATACACAGCACGCTTCAATCACGAATACTCGAGGTGTCTGGAAACGGACGATAGGGCAGCCTATGGCGCCTTCAAGAGTGGCCTTCGGTCCTTTCACTTTCGATACCTTGTGCACAGTAATAACTGGCGTACCTATGATGAACTGATGAAGCAAGCGGCAATTCACGCCAAGGCAGAATATTTCAACTCAAAGTTCGGGCCTTCGGCTCGGCAGGAGGAGCCAGCCTTGAAAAGTTGTCCTGGACAAGGATCACCGTATGCCCCCAGAAGAACTGACGAACCCTCGGCAGGGCACAAACGGAAGGATGACCACGACAATCGGCAGGGTGGCTCTAAGAAAAGACGAGGAAAATACGGTCGCAATGACCACCGTGCGCCCCTACCGAATCAAGACCGGGCCTAGGAAGTCTTCACTCAGCTCGGCCTTCACCGCCACCAGGTCCACACTCACGGCCCGCTTCTCATTGGTCACTTTGTTCATTGCCGATCGCAGCTCAGTGTTCTTCCTCCTCTCTGCCTATAGCTGGCTTTGTGCAACCGACAGCTCCTTTTCTACCTTGGCTTTTTCGCCAATGGTCCTACTCAGCTCGGCAGCGGTGACAGCATGCTCGTCCCTTTTCCCGCGGTCAAATTCGCGGTGCGCTACCACATTCTGGGCAGCAATGAAGAGCTTCAAAGTCGCCTATACCAACACATCTTGCTCACAATAGGAACGATTACATTCAACAAAGCACACATACAACCTCGTCAGAACATATTACCTTCATCTGATCCTCCAATGTCGCCATCATCATCCTGTTATACCCTATCTCCTCGGTAAACAGGCCCTACACGACCTCCACCTTTAGCATTCGCTTGATGGCCTCCTGGTATGAGCTGAGCACTAGTTCCGCATCTACCCAGGGCTCTAGCGGGCCGGTCACTGGGTCTACGCTCGCCCTCTTCCCCACCTCAGGGACTGATGCAATTATTGGCCTCTTGCATACGTCCCGCCTCGGCTCCTCTTCCACTCGTCTTTTCCCGACGTCCCTTACAAGTGGTTCCTCAGCTCGCCTTTTATGTCTTACCCAGGCAGCACCACCGACCGCGCCCGCTATGGTTGTTGCGCCGGTCGCCTGACTCTGAGCAACGGACATGTAGGGTAAACCACGGGCCTGTTGTGACCCACTCGCCGATCCCTTCTTGGCCATCTTCATCAATTTCGCCTGCATGCTCGAGTCGTTTCGGCTTGGCCTCATCCTTGCACAAACAGCGGTGTTATGGTGCTCGAATGTTTATCCACCGACCATCCTTCTTCGGCCTCATCCGTGCTCATCTCTCCTCCCTCTGACCCACCTGAGCTCCCCTCGGCCGCATCCCCTTCCTCTCTCACCTAGCCCAACCGGCATGTCTTCACCCATTTGGTCGGCTGCTTAGAACATTTGCTCTACCACTCCCTCATCCTCCCTATCATCCCTAAACGCCGATCGGCTGCTCGGCGTTTCTTGCAAGTTGGATAGGTCTGATCGGCTCGACATCCTTTCTACTGCTTTCCACACATCAAACACAATCACATATGGATAGGGACGGAATCTAAGTCCAGGCCCAAGTCCTTGGATAAGGCCCCGATTATTTGTACGAGAAGGATACAGAGTCTACATGTTGACAGATAACCGATATAGGTATAGCAATCAAAAGCCATCAGCGGCCAATCCAAGAACACATGGGCGTAGAAGAATTCAGCATATTCAAGCAAATTCACCAATTAGTTCATCATCGACTTATAAACCAGATAGAAAAATTCAGAAATTTTTGAACTAGGAATATAGTAGATGGACATGTACTAAACTGAGTAGATAGATCTTCCGAAATGACGACCGGCGCTGCCAAGTCCCCCAACCACGAACGCTGAGTTGTGGCCTCCACATTTCTGTAAAAGAAAGCCAAACATTAGTACTGTTAATTAAATTTTCCAAGTTAAACATATACTTTTGAAATTAATCTAGCAAAAGGAAACATTACCTTGCTGTTGGATGGAAGGTGATTGGCGTAATCCACGTCAGTGAGGAAGTGTGCCTTGCAGGTGGAGCACACAGTGGTCTTCTTCTTCATTCCATGGATCCAGTTGCAGTGATCTTGAAATCCATCCGGGGTATGAAAGGTACGGTCATAGAGGTTGCAGGGAAACAGCTCCTCTTACCTCGCCATTTTCGTCTCTCTCTTGCTTTTTCCCCTCTTCTCACACTAAGAATTGTTTGAGGACTCAGAAAATGGGGGGTTTAGTTACTTAATCATGGTCTGTTTATATAGCCGGAAAGAATGAAGATGGCACTCTGTTTAGTGACTGGCTATTTTGCTTTTGTGTGGGTAAAATTGTAATTTACTTTTTTATTATTTATTATTTTTAAAAACAAAAGAAAGCAGGTTGTGAATATATTTTAACTCTTTTATTTAGGTGTGCGCATGTTGAGATGTGAAGACCTTGGGGGAGAGGCGATGGAGGCCGGTCTTCGGTGGCAGAGACACCGAGTCCGTCGACAATGCCGTCGTCTAACTTATTTTGGGTATGTAGCTCTCTCTCTCCCTCGTATTTTGTATGTGAGCTGAAATGGGTTGTGTGCAGTTTTTTCCTTTGGTCTGTTTCTCTGCCTTTCTAGTGTTTTGGGGCTTTTCCACCATTAACTTTGGTAAGTACATTAATTGTTTAATAAGGGAGATTATCGTTTTGATAATGAGGGGCATTCTCCAAACCACCCCAAATAATAATAATAATAATAATAATAATAAGCGATAGCTCTCCCTATTATTGAGGTATTGATTAAATTTCTGCTCCAGGTACAAGTAAAGTGATGAATTGATGGGCCATAATAAGATGAATTGATGCTCCAGATAAGATAGGGATGTGCAGCAGCTGCGCATACCGTTCTATACCGGAGTAGAAGACCCCTTGACACACCTCCAATCCTTCCAATCGGCAGTCGGATGTAAAGGTCTCAGCAACGAAGGGCAATGCCTGCTGTTCCCATCCTCCCTTATCGAAGTCGCATTGAACTGGTTCTACCGTCTGGAGCTTGGAACTGTAGACTCCTTCGACGAACTAAAGTAGATTTTTCTTAACCACTTTATGATCCAGACAGACCGTCTGTACTCTGCCGATGACATGTACACGATTCGGCAGAGGGAAGATGAGCCCCTACGGGAATACACAGCACGCTTCAATCACGAATACTCGAGGTGTCTGGAAACGGACGATAGGGCAGCCTATGGCGCCTTCAAGAGTGGCCTTCGGTCCTTTCACTTTCGATACCTTGTGCACAGTAATAACTGGCGTACCTATGATGAACTGATGAAGCAAGCGGCAATTCACGCCAAGGCAGAATATTTCAACTCAAAGTTCGGGCCTTCGGCTCGGCAGGAGGAGCCAGCCTTGAAAAGCTGTCCTGGACAAGGATCACCGTATGCCCCCAGAAGAACTGACGAACCCTCGGCAGGGCACAAACGGAAGGATGACCACGACAATCGGCAGGGTGGCTCTAAGAAAAGACGAGGAAAATACGGTCGCAATGACGACCGTGCGCCCCTACAGAATCAAGACCGGGCCTAGGAAGTCTTCACTCTGTTGAATACTACTGGTCGATGATGTGCAAGAAAAAAGGTTTAGAAGTCTTTTAGGATGTGCAAGTTTTGGCTAGTTTTTCAAAAATTTCCCTTAATATATTTCTCCCTCTCAACTCCACCCATCTTATTATTTCGTGAACTTCACTGAAGCTCAACTTGTTCAATTTCTTGAAATCCAATGTACTTGTGACCGTTTGACCCTCTGAATTTTTCATTACCAAACTCACTATTTGAACCAAAACTTTTTTTTTGGGTCTGAAATTCATGTTGTATTCATAAAACCCCAAAACAGGGAATAGAGATACAAACAGAAGGCTAAAGCCATGAGGAGCCAACAGAACACAAGAACAAACTAACAAAAGCAGGGTCAGACATAGCTAGATTCCACCGAAGCCTAGAGCAACAATCCCTAGCTACTAATAGGAATTAAAACTAAACAGCAGATGCAACATGAGGTGGACAAGGCAAAGCATCAGAAGTTAACACCCCAACAAGAGACAATGGTGGTCTGTCGACCCAACTTTGCAATTCCATAGCTTTGTTATCTATCGACACCGCTACATGAGCTGCACGATTTGCACTCCTAGGCACCCATGACCAAGTCACCTCTTCGAAGCTCGAAACCACAACATGTATTTCGTCAATAAGAGGAAGGATAGGCCAGGAGTTGTTACCATGATTTCCAGTAATGCCATCTATTAACACCTTGCAATCTGTCTCCAAGATGACTTTCAGATAACCCCTGTTTTTAGCAAGATGTAAAGCACAAAGAGCTGCCGCCGCTTCTGCACTAAGAGATGAAACACATAAAAGTGGGGAAGCCAGACCACCACACCATTCCCCAGAGGAATTACGAGACACAATGCCAATGCTGCCCTTCATTGTGCCAAGAAACCAAGAACCATCAAATAAGTTGAATTTTACGTAGTTTGGGCTTGATTTAGACCAACGGGTTCTTTGGACATGATGGACAGGAGAGAGGATTTGAAAAGAGCATGGTTTGACTCCTTAAAATTAAGGAGGAGTTACTCCTTAAAACAAATGGGGTTTTGACACTTATCAAATTCCATCAACATTAACAAAGTTTTAACAAAAAAGAAAATTGAATATTAAAAAAATGTAACACATGTTAAAACCACATTGATTATAAGGAGGAGCTCCTCCTCAATTTAAGGATCCATATGAAAATCCACAAAAAGAAAAAAACACAAATTGAAATTTAAAGAAATAATCCACTCTAGCCAACTTGAGTGCATAGTGGAGAGCACATCCACTCTAACTAACTTGGCTAAAGGCCATTTCTGCTCCCTTGTGCACTTTCTAAAACTATATTTCAATTTTAATATTGTCTTTATTTGATATGTGAAATGATAGAGTTCGCATTTTGTATAGCTTGCATGGTTTTCTCCAATGACTCTTTGAATACAGGCAGAGGAACTTAATTTTATCAAATGATGGAATGGAAGCCAACATTATTAGCATGTGGGTTAATGGACAGAGAACAAAAAGAAATTATGAAAAAGATGAAATGGCAAGAGGACTTCATGAATGGCTGGCTGATAAGTGTACCAAAAATGAAATGAAAATGATGAGAAACTAAGCTAAGATGAATCTCTCTTATATGCATACATCTATGTCTATGAAAAGAGGTATGCCAAAGTTTTCTTGAGTAAAAAGAAATTGCCAAATTTGATAGTTTTCTTTTATAAAATAAAAATAAAAAAAAACATACATGGTTGTAATTAAAATCGAAAGCATTTAATTAATTTTGTAGTTACCAAAAAAAAAAAATGAAATTGACAATAAAGACCCAATTATTTTTTAAACTTATGGCTTAAATCAATGAACCTAGTTGAATCAATTAGGAAATTGACAAAATACATGGTAGAAAAAATTGATATGTAAAGTCAATTGTTACTTTTGAATCGAAAAATGTAAGACGAGTGATATTTAAGTGATGTTTTGATCCACTTTATAAAGTTGTGTTAATTACATATTTATTGTTTCTTTTATGTTACAATTGTGGATTTGAGTTCATATGATATTTCTAGAGCAAACAACTCTCTCTTATATCAGTATATTTAGCCATTTTATACCATAATTTCTATAATAAAGAAAAGGGGAAAAAATTGTAATAAAAATAAGCTTCTCTATTATCTCGCCTGTCATTTTACCTATTTGCTTTAGCAATGTTTGGCCAGATGATACAACCTAACAATGTATAAATCTGTATGTTACTTCTCTGGGAACTATGAGGGTGATATAAGCACTTCAAACGCTTCCACTTTGCAAGTCTTGAGAGCTGCAAAAGAATGGTGCGCTGATTGTTGATATCTCACTTCTTCTGAAGGGTCACCATGCAAAAGAATGCTACCGATGAACGTTAGGATGATTATACAAAGATTCCAATCATGAAGATTATAGCCACTTTTCAAAAGCGACCCGCACCACGTTATCAGCCATACTCTAGAATACCTGTAGAAAAAAAGGGAATAGTAGATAATCCATATCAAAATAACAATTCAGAACAATCTACAAGTGGTTATTGTTATAGTTATTAAACTAGCAAAAGGTGTCTGCGCGATACTGCGGGTTTTAAAACCAAAAGCAGTTTGTATTAAACATGTCTGAAAATTAACCCAAAAAAGTAAAAAGAGAAAAGGGCAATATGGTCATTGTACTGTGCTGCCGAATAGAACAAAAAAGAACAAAGAACATAAGTAGGGGCAAAATCGTCATTTCACTATTGCGAATGGATAGTCCACGAACAGTGAATTTTGGGATCAAAATCAACCCAAAAAAGTAGGGGTGGGCATTATAACCAAGGCCAGTACTTCAGATGACAACAGGAAATTAACATTCAGATTAAATTGTTTTTAGGAAAGAAATAATTGTCACCTTCATTTGATTTCAACAAATTTACAACTTCTTATTGGGTTTATATAGCAATCACATTACAGGAATATAAACAAAGTTGGCCAACAGGAAGGATTTGGTTGCCTTGGGATTCAATGAGAAAGAAACAATACTTCTCATTGCAAACATTTCCCCTCCACAGAGCTGTACAGAGAAATCAGGGGCCACATGACATTTTGTGATCCATCGCGAATTCTACAAATCAACTCTCAAGTGATTCTCCGGCAAAGTACTGTTTGTGGACCATTTTTCTGTAATCTGTACAAGAAAATAAACAGGAGTTGCATTAGAGGTTTGCACAGTCGAACTGAGGAAGAATTGGCACTTTCTCACCCGCCGGCATCATATTCCATGGCATACCAGTTGGAACATTAGTTTACCAAGACAACATTTTATAGCTTAAGGTGGTAAAAGCAATTAATCTCATGGTGCATTCGTAGGCTACAAAGTCTTGAACTTAGCATGAAAGATCAATCATGTGAGACTGTGAACCCTGTTGAGTTTTTGTTTCTATAAAGTGGCCAACTTACAATAAACATTATTCCATATGCATGCATATTTTGATTTGCAGTGCTTGGATTGCAGGAAGTCAATGTGAAGCAGCCTGTAACATAAAACAACGAATGGTCAGCTGCTTTAAGCAGAAAGTACTGGATAAACTACAGTCCAAAGTACTGGATAAAGCCTAGCTTACTTTTGTTGGCCTGTATATTAGGCCTTTGATCAAGAGTCAAGAAAAAGGTACTCAAGCCCAGTCCATAATTATAATTGGTTTTTTTAATAGAAATTTTCAAGTATAAATTAAAAATAGTTCATCACTATTTTCAAGTATAAATTAAATTTTCTCCTGTGCTATATAGGCTATAAGAGAGAGAGAGAGAGAGATAGTAGGTAATCATGGAGGAGGATAGGCATATCTCTCTCTCTCTTTCTGTGGTCCCGGGGTGGGAGTCTGATTCTTTTTGGTGGGGTAAAAATCCCAAAAAGTTCATACGAGGACTTTTTTGTATATCAATATTCTCATGGTACCTCTCTTCTCTGGGGATTGATGGGGATCTTTGGTGGGGTCCACTTCCAATATAGAAAACGTTCTGGTCTCTCTCTAAGCTTGTTTCGTTTTCTTCATGTTGGGCCTTAGTCTATAGTTGGGCCATTTACATTAATTTGTTTGAGTTCGTTGTGGCCGTACGTACTGCATGGCAAGATGCAATGCAACTATGTATTTGAGATATGGCTGCGTACGAAAATAATGGGTTTTGTTTGTTTTGTTTTTATTTTTTTATTTTTGGAGGAAATATGTTTTTTTTGTTTGTTTGTTTTTTTTTTTTTTTTTTTTTTTTTTTAAAAATTTTGGACGAAAATAATGGGTTTTGTTTGTTTGGGGAGCAAGCATTTCATTAATGAGAATAGGACAAAGACGTGGAGAAAAAAAGAAGAAAAAGAAAAGACTGGTCTTGGACGTGGGTTTGGTTGGCAAGAAAGTAAGCAGCAAAAGATCAAAAAGCAAGCAGCAGCAAGCCAACTATAGCAAAGGATTAAACCAACAACACCCAAAAGATCAAAAAGCAAGCATTTCATTAATGATAACAAGACAAAGACGTGGAGACCCGTCTTGGACGTGTGTTTGGTTGGCAAGAAAGTAAGCAGCAAAGCTTAAACCAACTACAGGCTACAGCCAAGATCAAAAAGCAAGCAGCAGCAAGCCAACGTAATGAAAAGCAAGCAGCAAGCCAACTATAGCAAAGATTAGACCAAATATAGGATGGATCTCGTATAATAGTTTCATAAACCTAAGTAGTAGCCAAAACCTAAGTGACTAAACCAGACCCTGAGTCTCACCGGAGCTTGCATCTTCCGGCCAAAAGTTTCCCATCTTCCCTCTAGAGGCGGCACTGCAGTTCAGATGCCACCATATCAGATCTTTCTCATCCATAATAACTAAAATGAGATAAAAATGCAATTTTTAATAAACCCTTACCTCACGATTCTTCTTCTCCTTGTGAGTTGCGAGATCTGGACCAGAGAAGAATAGCATCCCGCAGGCACCGCATTTGAACTTGGCCACCTTGCCATGGACATGCTTTTGGTGCTTTTTCAACGCTTCCATTCCTTTCAGAGACTTTTCGCACAGGTTGCATGCCCTCCTGTTAGGCTTGGATGTAGGGCTCGTCAATGGGCCGGGCCGGGCTAGCCAGGCCCAAATTTAACGGGCTTGGGCCGGGCGGGGCCGGGCTTTAAAGAGGAGAGAGAAAATATCGGGCCGGGTTTTTTTAGAAAATTCAAAGCCCAAGCCCGACCCATAGGTCGGGCTTGAGAAAGCCCATTGGGCCGGGCTGGGCTAAGCCCAACGGGCCGGGCCGAAACGGGCCTACTTCATTTGAAAAAAATCATAAACTTAATCATAAGGACATTTTAGTCTAAATTTGAGATTAAACTCACTTAATTCCAATATTTTCACATCAAACCAAATTCATAAAATACCCAATAAAGTCACACAACTTAATAAGATTTTCCACAAAAATATTAAAACAAAGTATTATTTTTGAGGTTATTACATAATTAGACCGTAATACGTTTTAAGAAATAATTTTAAAAAATAATAAGTATCAAAAAGATATTTTTTTTAAAGGATGGTATAAATAAATATGTAAATGTTTGGTGATGTGTTCAAGAAAAACATGATTATATTTGGTGGTGGTAGTACGATTATGTTTCGTGATATGATATATTGTTCATCTTATTTATATATATATATATATATAATTGTTGTATTAATAATTGACACAAATTAATGTGTTAATCATCCAATTATAAATTAGGAATGAGTAAAGAAAAGTAAATGAAATGAAACAAATTATATATGTGATTTAAGTGATATAATCCTAATCCTAAACTCTTATTTATACATAATTATATATGTATGCGGGCCTAACGGGCCGGGCTTTTGTGGGTGGGCCGGGCCGGGCTTTCTTGGGCTTAATCGGGCCGGGCCTATGGGTCGGGCCGGGCTTCAGACACCCAAGCCCAAGCCTAGCCCGGCCCAAGGCGGGCCGGGCCATCCCAAAGCCCATAACGGGCCGGGCCGGGCTTTTTTCCAATGGGCCGAGCGGGCCCCCAACGGCCCATGAGCCCGCGGGCCAAATGATGAGGCCTAGATGCAACTATGTATTTGAGATATGGCTGCGTACGAAAATAATGGGTTTTGTTTGTTTTGTTTTTATTTTTTTATTTTTGGAGGAAAATAATGGGTTTTGTTTGTTTGTTTTTTTTAAAAAAAATTTTTGGACGAAAATAATGGGTTTTGTTTGTTTGGGGAGCAAGCATTTCATTAATGAGAATAGGACAAAGACGTGGAGAAAAAAAGAAGAAAAAGAAAAGACTGGTCTTGGACGTGGGTTTGGTTGGCAAGAAAGTAAGCAGCAAAAGATCAAAAAGCAAGCAGCAGCAAGCCAACTATAGCAAAGGATTAAACCAACAACACCCAAAAGATCAAAAAGCAAGCATTTCATTAATGATAACAAGACAAAGACGTGGAGACCCGTCTTGGACGTGTGTTTGGTTGGCAAGAAAGTAAGCAGCAAAGCTTAAACCAACTACAGGCTACAGCCAAGATCAAAAAGCAAGCAGCAGCAAGCCAACGTAATGAAAAGCAAGCAGCAAGCCAACTATAGCAAAGATTAGACCAAATATAGGATGGATCTCGTATAATAGTTTCATAAACCTAAGTAGTAGCCAAAACCTAAGTGACTAAACCAGACCCTGAGTCTCACCGGAGCTTGCATCTTCCGGCCAAAAGTTTCCCATCTTCCCTCTAGAGGCGGCACTGCAGTTCAGATGCCACCATATCAGATCTTTCTCATCCATAATAACTAAAATGAGATAAAAATGCAATTTTTAATAAACCCTTACCTCACGATTCTTCTTCTCCTTGTGAGTTGCGAGATCTGGACCAGAGAAGAATAGCATCCCGCAGGCACCGCATTTGAACTTGGCCACCTTGCCATGGACATGCTTTTGGTGCTTTTTCAACGCTTCCATTCCTTTCAGAGACTTTTCGCACAGGTTGCATGCCCTCCTGTTAGGCTTGGATGTAGGGCTCGTCAATGGGCCGGGCCGGGCTAGCCAGGCCCAAATTTAACGGGCTTGGGCCGGGCGGGGCCGGGCTTTAAAGAGGAGAGAGAAAATATCGGGCCGGGTTTTTTTAGAAAATTCAAAGCCCAAGCCCGACCCATAGGTCGGGCTTGAGAAAGCCCATTGGGCCGGGCTGGGCTAAGCCCAACGGGCCGGGCCGAAACGGGCCTACTTCATTTGAAAAAAATCATAAACTTAATCATAAGGACATTTTAGTCTAAATTTGAGATTAAACTCACTTAATTCCAATATTTTCACATCAAACCAAATTCATAAAATACCCAATAAAGTCACACAACTTAATAAGATTTTCCACAAAAATATTAAAACAAAGTATTATTTTTGAGGTTATTACATAATTAGACCGTAATACGTTTTAAGAAATAATTTTAAAAAATAATAAGTATCAAAAAGATATTTTTTTTAAAGGATGGTATAAATAAATATGTAAATGTTTGGTGATGTGTTCAAGAAAAACATGATTATATTTGGTGGTGGTAGTACGATTATGTTTCGTGATATGATATATTGTTCATCTTATTTATATATATATATATATATAATTGTTGTATTAATAATTGACACAAATTAATGTGTTAATCATCCAATTATAAATTAGGAATGAGTAAAGAAAAGTAAATGAAATGAAACAAATTATATATGTGATTTAAGTGATATAATCCTAATCCTAAACTCTTATTTATACATAATTATATATGTATGCGGGCCTAACGGGCCGGGCTTTCTTGGGCTTAATCAGGCCTGGCTTCAGACACCCAAGCCCAAGCCTAGCCCGGCCCAAGGTGGGCCGGGCCATCCCAAAGCCCATAACGGGCCGGGCCGGGCCAATGGGCCGGGCGGGCCCCCAACGGCCCATGAGCCCGCGGGCCAAATGATGAGGCCTATCTTCATTAAGGTCATGACATCTGTGTTGTAAGGTTGCGAAAAGCTTCGATTTTGGACGTTATACACACCAAAATCATGAGGTTTACGAATTTCATCAATCATACATTCATTGTCATGGTTGAAGTATATGCAATTTGGCTGACATCCTGAAACTTCTGAAGCTAACACAGATATTGAGGAGTTATCACCCAAAAAGATAGCAGCATCACCCAATGTTTTTTTCGTAATCTACTTGCATTTTTCAAAATCCAATTTGAAAACCTTGAAGTTCGTCGTCACACGTTTGTCCGCTTCATAGTCAAAGTCAAAATACCTTATGACCATTATAATTTCTCCTTCGATTAAATTTACAATATATGACTTCTTATCGTATAATCGTAGATTCATCCCTTGTGCGATAATCTTTACATCTGAGCATGACTGAGTAGTGATATCGAAAGATAAAAGTTTGGGAAAACAATCGACTGCGTAAAATTTATTCTCAATGGCAGCAACTTCTTCAATCACCTGATACCTTTCATCAACTAAAGTCCACGACGTGTCTTTACCGAGTCTAATAAAAGCCGCTTGACATTTATCTTGGTATATGACTGTAACAATGCATCCGTTTGCATTTAATATTGGGTCTGCTGAAATCGAAGCCTTGAAGACAAAATTGTTACAATCTCCAGCCCATGCCTCGCAGTGCGGAATATTTAATTGAGGAAGACGAATGATGGAGTTTTCTTTCTTTCTCCGCCCTATAACCCTAAAGAATGGATTTATTAGGGTTATTGCATAGTTCCTCTCCACAACTATTAACCAACCTTTTGAAGAACCACAAAATCTCTTATTTGGGACTCTTGCAAATCCAGTAGCTTATCATTCATGACGTTGTAGACGTTCCATACATTATGTTTGCCGGTAGGAATCAAGAGCAATGGAGGAGAACGATGACAACTTTGCATCTTAGCAAATTGTTTTTCATGAGCCTTTGCCATACAGTGCCATGACATACAAAGAATACTGGATCGCAGATAGTCTAAGGTGACGTTAATCTCTCAAAAATTGAACTCAAAAGATGGTGAGGCAATCCTGCCCAATCTAGAAGAAAAACCAAAAAAAAATAATAATAACGTTAGAGAGATAACAAGGAAGAAGAATGAACCGGTCCAAACTAGGTTTTGGTTTATGTGTTAACTAAAACACCCTTGAAATAAAAACCGTGTTTTTCACTTAATAATGAGTACAAATTGCAATAGCTACGTAAGAATTTGTTTAAGAAAACTAAAAGAAAGAAGGAATATAAGAAGACAATAATTTGTTTGAGAAAATTTTACCTGAAGTCATACTCCAAAATCCAGAAGAAGTATTTTCTTATTTGCTGAAATAATCACCAAGAAGATTGAAAGAAGCTGCCCATTAATCACCAAATTTTCTTATTTGCTGAAAGACGTTGCTTTGAACGTAACGTACTACCCTTATTTATACCTGATTTCGTGTTCTATCCTCCTTAATTAAGGAATAGAATTACAATGCCCATAGGATTAGGAGACTAGTCCCATCTCATCCGTTGGAGATTAGGATATCCATAATGTGGTACCAACCTTCGAACCCAAGACCACTAGGAGTTAGTGCAAGCGAGTTAATTGAGAGACCTACCTACCTGGATCAGTTAAGAGTTAAGTCCCAAAGGATTAGGAAATTGGTCTCATCCGTTGGGAATTAGGAAACCCATTTAGATTAGGCATTCTCTCTCCAACACAACACTAGTGCCCAATAACATCACCAGCCCAACCCACCACCGTTTGGATTGGACACACATATAGTCAGGTTGAGAACACTCGATCACATATGCGATTGCAATCTCGAGCGTCAGGGTGATATGCATTAATTATAGGCTTGTTCGCCTTTTGACTATGTTTAAGAACTTGGATCATCACCTTTAGGAATTTATAAGAACTTTTTATTCGTCTTCAGTTGTCCAAGGCCAGTACTTCAGATGACAACAGGAAATTAACATTCAGATTAAATTGTTTTTAGGAAAGAAATAATTGTCACCTTCATTTGATTTCAACAAATTTACAACTTCTTATTGGGTTTATTTAGCAATCACATTACAGGAATATAAACAAAGTTGGCCAACAGGAAGGATTTGGTTGCCTTGGGATTCAATGAGAAAGAAACAATACTTCTCATTGCAAACATTTCCCCTCCACAGAGCTGTACAGAGAAATCAGGGGCCACATGACATTTTGTGATCCATCGCGAATTCTACAAATCAACTCTCAAGTGATTCTCCGGCAAAGTACTGTTTGTGGACCATTTTTCTGTAATCTGTACAAGAAAATAAACAGGAGTTGCATTAGAGGTTTGCACAGTCGAACTGAGGAAGAATTGGCACTTTCTCACCCGCCGGCATCATATTCCATGGCATACCAGTTGGAACATTAGTTTACCAAGACAACATTTTATAGCTTAAGGTGGTAAAATCAATTAATCTCATGGTGCATTCGTAGGCTACAAAGTCTTGAACTTAGCATGAATTGCAAGGTGGTTGAAGGTTTAAGAACATCTAATATTAAAGCTCAAGTTTCTAACCTTCCTTATTATTCCACAGAGCAGCAGCATAGCTGTTGAGGGGACTCTCCGGGTTTGGTTCTGCATGTAAGAACTAAAATGTCAGAAAATAATGAATGAAGTTTACAAGAAATTTCATGCAAAGAAGAGCAAGTTTACCTCCCAATAGACTTTGAATGGACAGAAGTATAGTCCTGCAATCGTACGCTGAAGACCACTTGTCCTGTGCCACGTATAGCAAGAACAACATAAGCCTTTTAAGAGTACATGAAAGTGAAAGAAAGGAAACTCAATCCAATATTAATATAAGACTCGTAGAATGACATTATTATCACCAATCAATTGCTTGCCCTACATCTGTTTTCCCCATCCTCATCACAACAAAAGTAACATTCTTATCATGCAACTCTTCCATCAATTTTTCTCAAAATACCCATAAATACTGATCTTACATTTTTGTTTTTTGTCATTTTTTTTGTATTTGTTATGTCTGGATGAAGATGGCCACGGCAGCAATAGTGCTGTTATAACGCTATCAGAGTTTGCAGCGCCCTTGGATTAAGGGCACAGACATGTGGGCACTGCAGCACCACCGGTTAAGGGGCACTAGCAGCATCCCCAAGTCAGGGGCATTGACATGTGTACAAACATTTAGATTTATCCAACCAATTCTAGTTTTCTATAAGACACCTCAAGTACTATAGAGTGAAGATCATCATATGGTGGAGCAAACTCCTTGATACAAGAGACACTGTCACCATCATAATGGTCAATCATAACTTCTCCATATTAGACACACAGGCTGTTTCTCTCACTTTATCCTCTTTGACCTTACTAGCACAAAGCTTGATATCAGTTTCTTTAACACAACGATAAATACCTGCAGAATATCAAGACATATATTTCCAAACTGATCAACATTTGGATGGAAGCACATTGTCTCAAACTTGACTTGGGGTGGCTTGAAAGGATAGTCCAGAGGAAAACGCAAAGAAAGTTTGTAGGATAAACCCTCATACATAGTTCCTTTTCCACCTTCAATTGTGCCAAGCCATGTAAAAATGCTCTCACCTTCAGGAAAAGCCGATACTCCAAGATCTCCTCCACTCATCTGAAAACAAGGACCAATAGATGTTGGACGGACAAACGTCAGTAAAACCAAGAGTTACTTGTCTCATAACTGAAATGAAAAGTAACAAGAAATAAGGTCATCAATTCATCAAATGGACTCCTATTAGACATTATACTTCAAGAAGATACTGTTCAGCATAGAAAATTTTATGACAGAACAACATATCCTTCCAGTGTGTAAAGCCTACAAGTGGAAGTGTGATAATGGTTAAGACTTCTCAGACAACCACACACCCAGTGCAGCCATAATCTGATGCTTTGCATTGAATTCCTAGAGAACACACACACACAACTACCTACCTAACTTCTGCACCACACATCATCCCAGGATTATCAAGAATCAAGAAGTCACTTTCTTTCTTTTTTTTTTTTTTTTTTTTTTTTTATTATGCTTCAAGTTTCAGCTTATGAAATTAAGATTGAACCCACAGAAAACCCAGTTCAAGATTTAGACAAAAATAAACAAATACAACAAGAAATGAAAGATTAACAGAGATTCAAGCAAAATCAAAAGCAAAGAATTTTTCCAAACAAAGTAATAAAAGAGAGAAACATACATACCATCAGAGACATCAACTCCTTCTGAAGCCTACAACAGCATTGAAACAAACCAAGTTTAGTTGCGAATTGAATTATCTCGGGATCCAAACAGCGAATTCAAGAAAAGGACTGACCTTTGTGAAACGGAGGTGGTGTCGACGGGGATGGGAGAAGCAGGGGGCTTTTTCTGAGTAGTTGCGGGTGTTTGGCGCTGACGCTGGGGCTGCGCGACCGACGAGTTGTCGGCCGTTGGATTGGGGCGGACCTCCATGCTCACGGTGATCAATCGCCTTTCCGATCGACGGTTGCTATTCAACTTAACGGTTTCTGCAGCGGTGGTGGTAAATGGTAATGAGACTGTCTTTTTGTTTTTTCTTTTATTTATTTTTGTTTTTAAATTTATTAATGAGAGAATATAATGGGGGCACGACCTGCTGTTGGTGTGACTGATTATAATCACTCATAAAATCATCTTAATATTATAATTTTTATAATTTAAAAACAAAAAACAAAAAAAGGTGATAATGTAATTTGGAGTAAATTATTTTATAGAATAAGTTGGACTAAATTAATAAGAAGATAATATCAAATATTTATTGTAGGTTAGTGTACAAGTATAGCAATCACATAGCTGGAATGAGAATGAAAGAGATGGCAATGGAGGAAAATAGGAATCTTTTGATGCCATTTGTGTAGAAGGGTTCTTATTAAAGATTGAAATTGAAGCATTAGCAAATAGTTGTGAACAACAATGACATTCACAATCTAAGGGGATAGAAAGGAATCTCACTCACACAAAACCACATATTACAAATCTGAACATCAAATCAATCAAGCGTCTTAGTTTTGACAACCAAAAAAAATCAAGCATCTTAGTTAGTAGTGGAATGATCTTCTTTCGTTATTGGGAGGCAAGCCAAATTAGTAGAAGCTAGTGTTTGCGTGTTACAAAGTTCATAAAGAACGTTAAAGTAAATATTAATAATTAGGATGAATAAAAGAGTATATGCGCGACTGATCCTAACAATGCTCGTGAACTCACACCCCAACTGTGTAGGATTCATTTGTAGTCCTTTGTCTCTTGGGTATTATTATATTTCTAAAAATGAAATTGTATATGTAAAGTACAATATGTGATGCCTAAAAAGGCAAAAAATTACACTACCATCATGCACAGCACACAATATCCTACACGCAACACAAATTAATGAAATCATCCTATCCCCTGTTGCTGCAAATGCTCAACCATATATGATGTACCCAAAAGAAGAAGAGGAAGAAGAAAAGGGTTAGCAGCATGTCTTATGATCCAACTCCATCAACTTCTTGATTTTCCTTTGCCAAATGAAAACTCAGACAGACCAATGTTAACTTCATGCTGAGTACGAATCCCAGGCGGTGCCGGAGGCAATTGTGTTGTTGAAGTAGGCTCTTGATCCAGTTCCCTAATCTCTTCTGGATCACTGGGTCCAGCATTGTTGTTGTTTAGGGAATGCGATGACCCTTCAGTTTCCCAATGACTTAATTCAAGGTTTGATGCTCTTGGAGATACATAATAGCCATCAGCATCGCTGCGGTTGTGCTTGTGCAGCAGATGGACCGGGGACATGCGCAAGCCGTGGCTGGGAGTTCCCGGCGTACTTGAGAACGGTGTGTTTGAGTGTGAATGAGGGCTGAGTTTTGTTCTCTTTTTGGCTTTGTTGTGCCAGCTCTTCAGTGCTCCTACCACCTCCTCATTGAAAACGGTGCGTTTCATGGTAGAACCCATCTGTTTGAGTTTGATCAAACAAAACAAAGTTAACCGATGTTAAATCAATTGGGATTCACTTGTAGCCTGCTGGGACTTTTTTTTTTCTTTCCAATTTTCATGTGCACAATTTAAAATCTGATATTGAAAGTGAGATCATTTTCACCTGTGTTACTAGAGCATAGAGAGGCAGAGTCACATAACTGCATAAAAATTGTATAATGACCCTGAGGAGATCACCCAAAAAAAGGAATTGTGTGCATTAGCAAAACAAATTGTGCTCATTGAATGATTAACATATGGATTTGTACAAAATTTGTTTTTGTGTGTAAAGCTCACTGCTCACCCCATTGAGATCCTGATAACGATATCTTCGGTGCGCTCGTGGAAGCAAGATTTTATCCCAAACGCATACTGAAGGAGAGAAAATCAATTATTTAGGTTATGAAAACTAAAGAAAGCTCTATTTCAATGGTTAAAGTATCTTTTGGTTAACATCTAATCTAAGTATAAGCAGATCTTTGTAAATGTGGTCATTTTTACTTACTGTACTCCATGCAAAGAAGGCCAGCTGAAATGCATTCTGCAATGAAGAGAAAGAAATAACAAAAGAGCAGCATGTAAAAATACAAACAAGTATGACTGTATATGATTATATAATATCCGAGAATTGAAGCTATACAAATGAATTTTGGATGCATATTTTGAAGTACCTGAAACAGAACGAAGTGGATGAGAAAGAGCATGAAGCGAGGGCTTCCAAACCAGAAGAGGTGATCGCCGGGTTGAACAAGAGGGGCACCCTTCACCACATCCCCTCTCTCCTGAATCCTCAGCCCCATCATTGATATAATCACTTGTAGTTTTGTTCCCACCAACAGGATTATCTACAAGATTTTTAATCACTATCAGGATTTTCTGTTTTGCTCACAACCCTTAAATTTATGTGGCCTGCAACTGCAATGGCCATAGTAAAAAGGGAATGCATGATACTTGGATGATGAATTTGATCTTACAACTAAAGGGATAAATGGTAGCCAGAAATAAGAATACCATCCTGTCCAAAGAGGAAACATTTCTTTGTCAGTAAATTCCCAAACTTTTCATGACAATTTTCAGAATCAATTATAAAAATAAAAAAAAGGATTTTACAATAACACTAGAAACAGATAAGACCTAATAGAATATCTCATTTACCATATGTGTTGGAAAGCAAGAACAGCACTGCAGAGAACCATATAATTGGGCTGCATCCATGAAGTATAAAGTTAAGTTTGTAAGACAGAGTTAAACAAAGAACCTAATGACTTTAGACACTACAGAACACCAACCTGATCTCCACAACAACTTTGAAATCCTCTTCAAGTGATCTGCTTATGTACTTCCGAAAATCAAATGTCGTTTCACTGTCTGGTGCGAAATGTGCCTGAAATCACAAAGCATAGAATTTGAGTCCATTTATGACCTGCATCTTGAATCCCATTTAAGGCCTTGCGTATGCAAATGAATTAGGCAACTGTTTTTCTTACCATGATAAATCCATGCCTCAGGGTTAGGTAATCAACCCTAGTAACCGACTGGAAGAGCTGCCTGAAGAAAGACACCTGGACGGGAAAAAAGAGAAACTTTGAGACATTTGGTCAAGCAATTTTATGTAAGTTGAGAAGCTTAGGAGTGTGTTTCTGAAGTTGACATCAAGGTTTCTTGCTGACAGAACTTGGGAACAAGGATCAACTTCACGGAAGTATGTTACTTACAATCCAAAGGGTCAATGGTGACCTGAATTTCAAATGTCTCTGTCCAAATGATGTGTCCCTTGCAAACCTAAACCTTTCTGGATCTGCAATACAAATAATTTAATGAGTTATAATCCAAGAAGTGCCCTTGATGGTTAATTGGAAAATATTCTTATAATTAATCATGAGAAGCCTAAATCTGTGAACAAAGTTTGTAAGAAGAAACATTATAATTTACAAGAAAAAAATAATAATAGTAGTCAACAGAAAAGTTCCAGCAAGATGGAGCAAAATTACAAACCATTGTAGTACTGATGTTCAATTGACCTTGTCTCTTTCTCCCAAACCTTCCATTTTCTCATCTGTAATCCAAAAAAGATAAAAAATACACTGAAAAGATGAAACACAAAGAGAGAGAGAGAGAGAGAGAGAGAGAGAGAGAGAGAGAGAGAGAGAGTGAGTCTCCAAAGTTGTACTAATTTGCTACTTTACCTTGTATCTTCCCAAAGTCAAGGTAAGGATGCAGTAGAGCACATGAAAAAGTGCTAACACAAAGATAAATATGTGCAGTTGGTGAATCCCATAGGCAGACACAAAGGCAACTTTGCCCTGCAAAAATTCACAGTCAATTAGAATTTTAGTGGCCAAAGGATGTTATATATCAGTACGGAAACAGAACCGTTTGCTTTTTACCTCCTTTGAACAATAATCATCTCCTTTTACTGCTAATCTGCGCCTGTAACTGAAGTCAGGATCTGAGAAATAAAGAAGTTTCCTACCCTTGTTTTCAGATTTTAACTGTGCTTCCTTACTGCAGGGAAGCCAAGAGTCTCCAATACTTTTTGGTATGCATATATCAGAGATATAATCTTGCAGCACAGTTAGGAGCAAGGATATAAATCCCAATAGCATGAGCTCTTCAAAGAAATCAAAGAGAACAAACAAATTGTTAGGCTTTGAACAAACATAAATTGCTTTAATTCCAAAAGAAAAAAAAAGAAAAAAAACTAAATGACCAGATGATGGGGGTACCAGATTTAATCTTCTCAAGTGCTTCAACTAGAGCTCTCTTGTGTTTGCTTGTTAACCACTGAAAATGGTGCAAGAACAATGTCAGGTGCAATGATCAACATTGATGTTTAAAGACAAGAAAGTAAATTCAAGCAGGCAGCCAATGCCCAGAACACTAATTGTTGTGCACTCAGATTCATCTGCACCAGTTTAATAAACTGAAGGCAGCAGCAAAGCCTTCATCCCAACTACATTGGATTTGGTTGCATGCATGATCTTTAACTGAACAATATTTTTTTATGGGAATGAGGCCAATCAGCTTGAAGCCAATTAGTTAACTAAGCAATCTGGCCTTACCTTTCCTATGAGGTGTATGATATGTTCAATGAAGATTGAAACTGCAAGCAACACAAAACAGACCACAGCAACAGCCCATGTTGGTGTTTCCTCTAGGGAACGCTCTTCACTTAGTTCGGCCATTCGAATTTCTACCCAAAAGCGCTACCAAGATATTCCTGTGAATCTAAATATTATATGTATATAATGTGTTTCTCTTTGTTACTTATAAGGGAAATTATGCGTGTTGAAAGGAAAGGGCAGGACAAGAAATTCAAGACATTTTCTAAGACCAGTTATGATGAAAGACTTTTAAGTAGAAGCCCAAGTCTCTGTCATTCTATGCCGACTTTATTGCCAAGAACTTATCAAAATTAAGCAAATCAGCAAATTAACTTGGAAATAATTTTCAATAATGTATCCTTTGGAATGAGAAATGGGACAAATGGACATTGTCAAAATGACCACTACTAGTTCATAGGGTCGTTTTACTTTTCAACTGCGGGTATGAATGATTAAGAACATGAACTCGTGGTGGAGAGACAGCTTAAGATTTTTCCTGTTCTGAACTGAAAATGAAGGGCATTTACAAGATTCAAACGGGTCTTTGTCAGGAGAAATTATACAGCATGGTAGTACTATTTGTTGCAACTTGCAAGTTGAATGGCGCGTAGCACCATATGTCAATTGCCACGATGTATTTGGTATTTGCAACTTGGCATTTTCATCAATACACAAACGTCTTACCAACTTATCATACTTATCAACAAACCTATCACATATTTTTGTTTGCATTGAAGAGATATAACTAGTACGGTTGAACAAATAAATCGGGAAATTAATTTAGAACTTTCAAGACAATCTCTACGTCAATTTATACTTGCATACTCGTTCTGTCATCCAGACATTAATGTCGAATTTGTTCTCTTCTCACTTTTGATTTTATTTGAAAAAAGACCCTTGATCTTGTTAGACAATCGTTAACTTAAAAAATTTAAGTTGTCGTAGGAATAGGCCAACAATGTATATCAAACTTACAGTTGTGGCAAAGAGACATACTGTTATTTTGAAGCCTGAGACTTGTTGAAACGGCCTAAAAACTAGATCTGGCGAATTTTGTTCTTTCCCAGACAAATTTTCACCGGAATAGACCTTTCACGATTGAATGTGATTATGTGATTTATTTGAATTGGATTAAATTTTTTTGCTTGGTGATGAAAATTTATCATCCTTGTTGCATATAATGGTCAGACTCGTTAACCTAAATTTATCATACTAAATTTCTTATGTTCCATATCATATAATGGTCTTATCAAAAAATATATTCCTTATAGAAAGGCCAGACTCGTTAACCTAATTAACATTGCATAATCATATTCGGTTTACTTTGTCTGACCAAACCCATGGCCCTTTTTCTCCTATAGTTCTGTTCATATTCAAACTTATGATCTATGAGCAAGTTGCATATATATATATATATATATATATATATATGTACTTCATTCTGCTTTTATTGCTTTCTGTATTAAAAACTACACCAGTCAAAAGGCAGGTATGGTGGTAATGGCATCATCCATTTCTGTACAGAGAAAGCAGCAAATGAAGCCATGAGATTTCCAAAAGCAAGAACATTATATATACAACTGAGTTTGTCCCATCTCTTTAGAGCACCCATCTCAAGCTAATAAAACTGTTATTTTCTGTCATATATAAAATGTATCAAGATTTCATCATTTAAATTAAGAATTGCATATCTGCTATATATACATATGTGTAGTCTGAAATTTGGCTGCACACATACATATCTGGTTTTTGAGGCTGACCCAATTTAAGGTCACCCAATTTTCAGTCTTTGATATATTATATATATGTGCAAAGGTAGAGGAATCTTAAATTGATCATTGTTTTTATGTTAGAGTTGTAATATCTCTGTAGATTTGGTTATGTCTGTTTATAAGTATATAGATTAAGTTGTGTAAGTCCATACATGGCAGAAAAGTAGAAAAAATAAAAAGATAGAGGTATGATCTTTGAAATAAAAGCAAATCCATCTTTGTACAGAAAAAACACAACTACATTTATAAAAATCAAAATCAAAAGTCTATCCAAAAAGAGGATTTGAGACCTCCAATTCCCATACATTGAAAAAACAACTGAATTGTCCCATCTTTAGAGCACACCTAAGAACAAGATTCACAGTAACAGAAAGAAGATAAGAGTTTCTTCAACTAATAAAGCTGTTCTTTTCTGTGATGCCACCATCTCCACCTGCAAAAAAGTAACCAAAAAAGCTTGGCTTAGCATTAAGCAATGAGAGAGAGAGAGAGAGAGAGAGAGATTTATGACCTAAGAAAAAAAGCATTAATAAGAGGGAGAGAGATTGAAAGCTTTAATATAACTGGTCCTCCATATCTAAAGCTGTCTTGACAAACACTTTAGACCACACTCTTACAAGTTTCAGAATTACCACTCACCTTTTTCAGCCTAACTTCGATGGTTAATTTATCTTACTTTTTTTTTATTGGCCAACTAAAGGCTCTTTTGGACTTGTTACATAATTTTTCACATTCTTTGTTTATAATTTTCAAAATCAAAAGCATAAAAGTTAGGTGGAGGAGTACTATAACTCTAAAACCAAAATAAATGTGATCAACAACTCATATTCACAGTTTGACAAGATAACATTTTACTAATGAACACGTAACTCACCAATAGTAATCCCATCTGGGTCGAACTTTGGACATCCGGTTCTGACCATACGGGTGGTCCGTTTCAGCTCTCTGGGTGTTCCGGAAAGCACAGCACCCAATTGAATAGATTCCAATGAGGACCACAAGCATGACAATGTTGAGGACAGAGAGCTTGTGCCAGTCTCTTTTGATGTCTTCAAGTACTCCAGCTTTGCATGAATCGCACTCGTAGCATAACAAGTTGGGCGCATTGTTCCACCGGTAGCAGTCCGGGTCTTGACTCACTGTGGTTGCCATGTTGTAATTGCATAATGTTGGTGGTTTGCAACAACCAGACTGCATATAATATACATATATGCACCCCAAATCATTAAATTATTACAAGCTTTAGAATGAGCTAATAAGTCTTTACACACAACATGAACTTTATACATATATATCTCTCTCTCTACTTTATCATCCAAAGAAAAGCTCTTTCTATATTTATTTTTTACTTTTGCTGGGAAAAGCCGTCTTGAAATACATACAATGGGAAGAATTCTATGGTTCATACATGAGGAGAGTACGAGGGTAAACTTAATTGAACAAGAAGAAGAAAGTTTTAGAGAAAAAGTTGGGATTTTAAGTATTTTCCTTATCATATTATGCTTCTATCTAATTATAAATTACAATACATCAACCTAATTAAGAAACGTGAATGAATCGATCGAATTTTTAAGAAAACAAACACAAGCAAAATTATTTTTTTATTATCAAGTATCCTTTTCTAATATTTGTTTCAACTACTTTCTTTTTTTAAAGGAAAAAAAAAAAAAAAAAAAAAAAAAAAAGGAAAAAGTTGTAAGAAGGGAGCTTCTATTATCATATTTGCAATTCTATTGATTTCTTGAGGATATTTAGGAAAATATAGAAGAAGAAAAACAATCCTATATAGGTAGAGGCTTACAATCACATATAATACAAGACCCAAATGAACTTGAATATGTAGCCAGCAATGAATTGTAAATTACCAAGCAAAAAGAACACATATGTACTAATTACCTGTATGGGAGACATGTCTCTCTCAAGATAATCAAGAGGGGTCCAAGCAATAAGCTTAGCACAAGTCTTGGACCCCAATATGCAACTCCTAATCTTAGTCCAATAGTTAGGATCCTTAATCCTATTCTTCAACCATGGTGAGTAATCTTCAAGATGGTACTCCTTATAAACCCTACTAGGCACATCCACTCCACCACCTTGACTTGTGACCACAAACCCAAACACAGTTAAACCCATTAGGGTTGCAATTAGGAGCAACATAACCACTAAGTACACCCAAAGTGCCCAAGCCACATTGAAGCAAGCACCAATGAAGCCTGCTAGAGATATGATGAGCACAACAAAACCCACCACCAGAAGCGGGGTTTGGAGGAAGGTTTCACATGTGGTGCTGCTCCTTGCCATCCATAGACCTCCTCCAATTATGGGTATTGATGCTAAGAGAGTGAAAAGGTTCAAGAACCCTATCACTGTGTTGCTGAACCTATACATCTCTCTCTCTCTCTCTCTCTCTCTCTCTCTCTCTCTCTCTTGTTTTCCACTTGTGTTTTTTAACTCCTAATTTCTCTCTCTTTATATGGGTGGCAATGCTTTACTCTGTGTTGGTGCTGCTGAAAGCTTCAAGAATTCAAAATGCTTATCTCCCTTTGTTTTTTTTTGTTTCCCTATTTGCTTTCCATAGATTAAGATATTCATTCATAAACTTTATTAATAGAAGTACTGTATGTGCATGATAATTACTAAATTATTGATACTCTGAGTGGTTGAATGACCAAAACGCCCTTGGATTGAATTTGATTCGTTATGCATTGCTCAAGGCAAGAAAAGAATATAGTGGCTAGATAGGCAATTTGGGTAATTGCAAGAATGTTGTTCAGAGAAGAAGTGAGTTGCTTTTGCTTTTGTGGTGAATGAATGGACCCCATTTGAGCTTCTTTTTGAAGCATGGTGATCACATTGAGCAACAGCAGCAGGAGATATTAGGCCATCTTTTTGGCGGGAGGGAATAGAATATTAGAATACTAGAATATTAGAATATTACAACATTAGAATATTAGAGAATGGAGGGTTTGCCTAGAAATCCCTCTTATCCTCTCCGTCTCAGCCAATATGTATTAGACTTGTAGTTATTCAGTGTCTTTGTTTGATTCTCTTTACGGCTCCACTAGACACCAGTTTTCTTAATGGAAAAGTTTCCGATTAAGTTTCTAATCCTTAATTATTTGGTACGTCAATAGTAGAATAATAATGCATGTACTTTGCCATTAAGTTTCTAGGGCTAGAGGAGGAGCTTAAAGTGAGGAAGCTATTTGAGGAGGCCAATCCCCCCATCAAAGCATTTAAAATCTTTAAGTTCCATGATTTCTTTACATTTGTTGATGGTAAGATTGACCTATTCAAATAACCTTCTCACTTTAAACTCCTCATTATAGCCTCCCGCTAAGTTTCTAATCCTTTAGTAATATTGAGTTTTGTTATAGTTTGGATCCCAATATTGGGCTTAATACTGAAGCTCCCATCTTGATACTCAATAATATTATAATAAAATATTATTTTCAATTTTCACAACTAAGACAAATAACAGGCTCCACTAGCCTAGGGTTAGACCAATAGACTTTTGTGACAAGAAATGAACAACACGCCTCCTTAGCTACTAGCTGTCCAAGTGCAATAGCCAATCACACAGAAGAAAGAGAAGCAAAAATAGAAATTCAGAGACACGGATGGCTGCAGCTATGTGCTGGTTTCGTTGCCAAGAAGAAGATGCAGGAATGTATTAGCAACCAGTTTAACAATTGCATAGAGATCTCAAGAGCATAACTTTTATATTTATTAATGTACTCTGTCTCTTTTATATTTATTAATTTACGTAAAAAAAATTACACAGACATTAATAATATCAAAGTTATGACTGGCAGAGACAAATAATGACAGATGCGCCCAAGATTGATTTTAGGGGTAACATAATAATCATAACGTTGCAGCCTTGAGGGACAAAAAGTCTGAAATCTTGTTCGTGTAAAAGTCTGGTTGTATGGAGTTGTTAGGACTCTGAAGCACTGATAACAAAAATACGGACTTTAGTGTAGTTACCTGCGAGAACAAAAAGAGTTTTGCAACCACCATTTTGTCCAAACAGAAGATCAGTATCTAATCTGTCCCCAACCATGCAAATCTGTGACTTCAGGATGCCAAATCTGTCATTGATTAGATTCAACTGACTAATATCAGCAATTATATGACCAATATGTTTTCATCAGATCCATTGAAGTTCACTTCTTTAAGATGTCAAGTGTTCTGCGACTTAGTACATGTCAGCTACTAATTAGAATGCAAAATTACATCACGAAAATTGAACATTCTGTTACAATAATTGCATTCTTGTATTTGCAAAATCATTGACGTTTACCTCATTAGTCAAAGTCATGTCTTTTAGCCTTTGAGTGTCTTTTAACTTTTAAGACGCACATAATCTAGATGGTTGCTAAGCATAGTGAGTGATTAAAAAGATGAGTCAATGATGAAACTCCTCTAACGTTTGTCAGAAAACCAAATATAGCAATATAACTTCAATAACTAAAGAATTAACCTACAGTAATATAAAAATAATAATAATGTAAGATAGGCCATTGATCTCTCTCTCTCTGAGAGTAAATGCGCAGGCACACACACTTGTGTACTATGTGCACAGTTTAATTTCATTTTTGCAAGTCTTTGATGGACTAACACTACAATTTGTTAGCACTACAATGGTTTCGTTATCACAAGTAGTCTTGTGCTTACAAAGCAAATCAATCGCTGTCTTGCTTCATCAGCATAAGTAGGCGCATTATATGTCTTACAATGCAATACCCATTTATATCTCTTATAATGCATCTCGGATTATAGATATTGTGGTACATATAATATTTGGTACACAAAGGTTATATATCTCTTATAAAGCATATTTAAAGCGCATTATATGTATCACGCTATATGATATCCACCTTAAGAGAATGCCTTGGTGTTATATAACATAAAAACTGTTATCAGAATATGGTCTTTGCTCAAGATAACAGCACTCATGTTACTTAAGAAAAGATAAAACAATGAAGAACAATAAATAAAGCATTTGACTTACTCGTTTGCTAAGTAGTCCATCATAAATGTTGAGGGTTTTCCCACAACCAGCGGCTCACGTTGAGTAGATCCGCGGATAGCGCCAACCATAGAACCTCCACTTGAAGTTGAGTATAAATTATAGTAGCTATTGAGAGAAAATTATCGTAGCTTCATCAATTCGTTAACAACCTTTTTGGCTAGGTATTTTCAGGTCCAGAAATTCAAAATTTCCCAGTCAATTTTAGAAATTCAAAAGTCATTTGGAACCACTAACCCATGCATTAGTAAATGCATAGATAATCTGATTCAGTATCTGAACATTAACGAGTTCAATAAATTCTAACGAGTTCTTTTTTATAAGATCCAATAAAAGGTGGCCATTTTCACAGTCCTATCTCCTCTCCCTTATATTATGCTTCGATATATTGAACAGAAACAAGGAGATGAAAGCATATATAAATGTGAGTGCAAAGTGTACGAATAGGAGTGTGAAAATCACTGCCCCTAACAAATGACTTTTGAATTTTAAACAAATTCCAATTAGAAAATCTTTACAGTATGTATCTATAACTGACATACTTTTCTCGTCTTTAGACTTAACAATAAGTCGAAGTCGTCAGAAAATGAAATTTGGCTCAGATTTTCAATATCTACTTTTCCAAAGAGACAGGCTACCAAACCGATGGGTTCAACCGAACAGTGAACAACCTTTAAAAGGAGTCACAACGGTGACAAAAACCAATTAATTCAACCATGGCCAGCTACCAATTAAATAAATACCAAATTGCTTCTAAACAGAATTGACATTATCAACCAACAAAAGACTCTAACTTTAACAAATCAAGAGTCAATAACTAAAACCAATCAGATATAATTAAACCAAACCCATGTAAATTACTTTTTTGTTAAGAATACTAGCACCTATGCAAATCCTTCCTTGGTTACACTAGCCAAATTAACCCAGATGTCAAAATCAAGAACGATTAACATTATCCCAACAAAATAATCTCATAATTATAGCAGAATTAACATTACCATGATATAAGCAAAGGCTCATATTTTGTATACCCTCAACTAAACCAAATATCAAGATCAAACGCGATAAACATTAGCACAACACACAAACTAAATTCACATTTCTTCTGATAAATCAATAAAACCTAACCTAAGATCAAAATCAGCAGCATTAACATTACCGCAACGGGGAAAAAGTAAGAAAATTTGTGATCAAACCGAAATCAAAATTAAGCAAAATTAACATTTCACAACTAAACCAGAATCAGAATGAAGAAAATTCAGATAACCAAAATCATTTTATAGAAACTAGAATAAGAAAATAAAAGCTGTCATCATTAAAAATAAAATTAGCACAAAGCCACCTGGTATCGATGTGAGGCGACATCATTGGATCGTCGGAGTCGTTGTCGATGAACTCATAATCCGCAACTCCAGATTCGTCGCTGTCCATAGCGGCGGCTGCGTCGTCGTCGCCGCCACTATAGAAATCCTCGTCATTGTCGCCGTCATCATTAGCGTCGAGCATGTCGAAGTCTTCGTCTGATTACATTTCGTGGGTTTTGTGATGAAGAGGATCAAAACCCTAATTGGGAATCAATCCTAATTGCATTGAACAAAAGAGGGCTGGGGTTGGGGTATTGGAAGAAAGACACAGAGAGCGGGAAGTAGGTAAACTAGAGAAGGAGGGAGGGTGAAATTGGTAATTTACTTTATTTAAAAAGTATGGCCGTCCGGCTATACTATTTTTTGGTTTTTAAATAGTATCGCCGAGCGGCAGCTTGAACATGATATTAAAATTCAAATATGCTTCTATTGCAATGCAGGTATATATATTTTCAACTGATAGACTGAATTGCTAGGGGGACAAACAGGCAGCTTGAACATGATCCTTCATTAAAATAAACAAATCTAGGTTTTGAGAGACGAATAGAATTCTTAGCGTATCTCTCTTTTGACTTGTGTGTAAGAAGTTGCATTGATATAAGCAACCAGCAAGCAAGTGGCCAAAGCGGATTTAACTCATCTTAAACCCTCCAAAATATTATTCATTATTTGGCGCTGGCCGGAAGAAAAACGATACATTGTTTATTTCTTGGATCGGAAGATAACAACGCAACGCAAGCATCTAATCCGCCGTATACTTTGGCCATTGCTTTAAACGACAGATTCTTTATCATCATTTTCTTTTTGCCAATTAAATAAATATATAAATAATAAGACCTTTATCATAAATCAAATACCAATAATAAAGAATATATTTCTTCAATAAAGAATCCACATAGACGTATATGGAAGAAGTCCAATTTTTTACTCTAACTAGTCAGTAATTTTTCTTCTCATGGATGGTATTTCCAGAGAGCAACAGCTAAATAAATAAAACTATAAAATGGCGCTGCCTGGGGGGCAAGAATGGAGGGGGCACTCGAGAGGAATGCTTGTCTTATTTTGCTTTTCCCAGCTTCTGTGTATGAACAATTGCTGCAAATCCCATATGTTTGTGCTTATTCATCAAGAGTATGTGAATAAGATGGAATGAATCTAACTTTCCATGGGCTTGCCTTCCAAAAATGATCTGAAAACAATAAAAGCCTGGCGAGGTCGATGGAGCGGAACCTCATGCCCAGCTCCGGTCACGGTCACAAATGTCAGCCCCTTGTATATTTGGTTCCAGCCACCAACCTATATGACAAAGGAATGAGAGCGTTTCAGGAGACGAAAGATTATATAGTTTACTGCAGATATAACAAAAGGATACGGTAGAAAAAGTCTATATACAGTTAATCACGGATATGGTTGTCATAAGCACATAAAATCTATGGCCCAAAGAAGAGTAAAGAAGGAATGTAAAAGGCTACCCATTGTAAGAAGAGAAACGAGCCGTGTAAATATGGACTGAAGTTAAAATAGGAAAACATAAAATTGCAATTCGAGTTAATGGTTGTGAAGAACATCTCTTCCATGGAACTAACCTTGCCGTTGTCATACCACGGGGACCAGTTGGTAATTGTTGGTAGCTTCAGGGCATCTATGGAGTAGCGAGTCGCAGTCACAGGAACCACTGCATCAGTGTCTCCACTAGAGAAAGAGTTCATCAATAGCCATGTCAGCTACAGGAAGCAAAATTGAAAAACAGAAGTACAGTTCCAAAGAGTATGTCCATAAGTATATTCACGAAATTATACAACAAACAGTAACATCTTGTTCATTTTTTGGTATTCACACGCTACAAACTCTTCAACATGAAGTACAGTACAATAAAAACCTTTAGTGAACAATGCACATTCAATTTACCGCCACCATTACCATTACTGCTGCTAGTAGTGCTAGTTTATAACATCAATTTCCCGAACGAAAAACAAAACATATGTCACTTGAATTACAGAAATCCAGGGAACCAGAATCCTCGAAATTCAGGGACCTGAGGGAAAAAGGAGTTGCAGTATGGTGAGTCTACCTGTATACCCATATCCTAAGACCAGCAGCAATGAGCTCTCGATAAATAGGAAGCATAGACAGTGAAGAATCCGTCCAGTAGGTTCCAACTATATCACTGCAGAAAAACACTTTATCTAAGAACTCTATTGCAAGACATGCAAGAAGTTAAATATTGAAAACAAAATACCTACCTGCATGTTTGCCATGGATAAGAAATTCCAGTTACATTGGCATGGAATGCCCTTTGAACTTCTGGATGGTTGAAGTACACTTCAGAATACCTCTCAGTGCAGGGATCATATGCTCTGGACATCCATGGCTGAGTTTAAACAGTGTAAGATTAAATAACACAGACCTTCCAAATGATTTTTAAAGAAAATATGCAATTAAGCAAATTCTAGACTGTGAGGAACACATTGATGCTAATGTAGTAATGAATTATAAGCAAGAAAATGTTAACTACTTGTACCACCAGTGACAAAATTCAGAATCAAAATTTTTCATCTTCACAAAATATAAAGATATTGCAAATCATAGTTTGAAACTTTAAGGGCAGGGAACTTAAAAAACAAAACAAAATATAACTTTGTGTCTGGAAAAGCAATGCCATGAGATACATATGCTCTCAATAGTAATTGTTCAGAAGAATTTCATATATCAAACAAGTATATGAAGTATTTTTATATCTAATATAAGGGTGAATTGAGTTCAAAGGTTAATTATATCAATTAGTTATTAAAAATCCAAGTAATCCCTGGTACACTAACTGCATGGGGAAATCACCAAAACAGTGACAACTGACTAAAACCTATAAGCAACTAAAAATTCCCTATTCCTTTATTACTTTTTTTAACTCCTAGGCTGTTAGACAACCACAGTACCCTGGAGAATCGGTTAACAATGTATGCGAAGCTAACACCTTTCCTCAAGTGCAGTCCCATCCCACACGAGGAAAGGCAAACAGAGAGAAACATATACATGCAGGCTGCACCTTACAAGTTAACAAATAAGTAGAGAATGATGACAAGTGAGGAAAAGAAATATTCAGTAGAACTTACGTAATGACCCCTCAAGTTGTGCTTTAGTGACTCAGTGCTATTGCAAGGACGGGTAAAAATGCTGTATGGATCAATGTTTCCCTGCTCCATTTCTGCTATTTTAAGGGCTCTCATACATTCTACTGATGGATGCTGAGAGGATCCAAAGTCACAGGTTACTCGTAGCATCCGATAGGTAGAATCAGAAATTAAACCATGGGTCCACCAATATTGAAATGTGCCAACATAATCATGGTAATCATCAGTCACAGCATTTCCCACCTGGGAGAATGAAATATATCAACAAGATAAATACACCCATGTAAATAGGTTAGTTGCCAGACATTTCACACGTTATAAGTTCTCATAAAATATATGGAAAACTACAACTGTGTGTTTCATTTAAATTAGTTCTCAAAATTATGATTGAATGTACTTAATTTTAAGGATTTCCTTGTTAGCAATTAAAATAATTTATTTCATTTTATGGCATCCTGAAAAAATAGAATAAAGCAGACTATCTACAGTTTAACTTCAGCTTATTTTAAAACAACATAAGTTGCTCAGTTCAACAGGTTGATAGACAATTACCTCAAAAGTACTAAAAAAATCAAACAATATTTCAATCGTGGAAAAAGTAAAATATCATTTGATATTGGTAATTCTTCGAACAATAAATAAAATCTTTTACGTTGTACCAAGCAACCCTTTAGGAAAGAGGCAGAAACTAAAGTTTGCACAATAGTTGCAATTCAAGATAATCCTACATTCTTACCAAAAATCCCTTAAAATTTATAACTGGATTCTGAATTCCCTTGTTTCTCTCATAAACCAATTGAGACAACTGAGGAATATAGTGACCTGAAAGTGAAATTTTGAAAATGAACTCATTATCATCATATCAAATGTGCAGGGAAACCATAGTAAAGATGAAATTGGAAGAGGAAAAGGGGGAAAGTAGGTTGAGGAAGTAATTCACACCTGCGTAACTTTCTCCAGCAATGTAGAAATCTCGGTGCTTGTACTGTGGGAACCTTTCAAACCAATTGACTAGAAATGCATATGCATCTTCAGCTACAGACACAAGACACCCCAGATATCAAAAATATTCAGCAATGTCAAAATAAACTAATTTGTAATCAGAGAAACAGTATTCACACAACCCATGAATCTTCCAAATGCTAGCCCCTACAAACTGAGAAAACTATAAATTCAATAAAGCTACAAAACTAAAATGAACAACAACCTGTTCTCTGGTCTCCGTTTGTGTACAAATCTGTGGTCGTATTCGAGTATGAAAAGCCAACACCAGCTGGAGATTCAAGGAACAGCAAATTTGCCACTGCCCAAATATTTGAAAATCAATCAGAATTAGATAAAATAAAAAAGATGACAATTTTGTAACCAATTAAGAGAATATGCACCAAAGGTTATACATACAATTGTTCCAAGTATAGGGATTCAAGTAAAGGGTCTTCCCATCAGGTCTAATGCGAAAAGGTCCAATCTCTTCAGCTGCTCCATAAGCAACAGAAGAACAACCTGGACCACCATTGAGCCACAACACCAGCGGTCTAGACTCAGGTCCACGGTTTTTTGGGGATTCAATCAACCAGTAAAACAATGCTCTACCAGCTTTCTTATTCACCGTCACATAACCAGAGTACTGCGCAAACCCCACATTTGGCTGTCCTGGCAAATTTGTGATTCTATCCCTCACTTGATCTTGAATAGAAGCAAAACAAGCTCCAAAGAAAAGGAGCAAAATGCAAAGAAATGCAAATGGAGAGCGGTCACCCATTTCTTAACCAGTCAAGCAATAACAAAGGCAAAGCAACAAAACTCTAAATCATAAGATTCAGAAGCTGTAAGCAGAAAGAGACTTAAAAAGCATTCAGTGAAGGTACTGCAACAATAGATGAATTACAACAAACTCAAATGAAAACCAGAAGCACAAATCCCAACACTGTTATGGGTTCCCAAGGAACTTATCTACAATGCACTAAACAATAAAACCCAGATCCCAAAATATATCTGGGTCTGCAATGAATTACCTAAAGAGACTAAAAAAATATGAGTGACAGAGAGAGACACAGAGTGCTTGACATTTATAAAGACTTGGCCTCTCAGGCAGAATGCCAATGATTGTGATTAGTTGTAATGGAGTGTGAATGGTCTGCAAGCCATGCAATTTTTTTCTGCTTTAAAATTCCAAGCTGTGGAATTTATTTGCCTCACTCAGTCAATTGGCCAAACAGGTAGGATGCGCACATGGGGTTAGCTCTAGATATTTCAAGCTGCAAACTTGAGGTCTGCAGCTAACACCTGAAAAAAATGAATCTAAACCAAAAAAGCACATGAGCTTTCCTATAAGTATCTTATTTTAAGCCAAATAAGGGTAAGCAATTAGTGACTAATAATGGTGAAAGAAGTTAATAAACAGAATCAAATAAAAAAGATAAGCAACAGAGAGTGGGTGGCGGTAATTTTGTTAGCTGCAGTGTCCTGTAATCTGTTGGCGACACCTTGAAAAACTCAGTCCGGGGATGAAGGAATCAAATTGGTTGTGGGCTTGGCTGCAGGTTGACTTGGTCTCAAAGCATTTTTTTTTTCTTTTTTTTTCTTTTTTTTAGGAAGTTTCATCATATCCTATGAATCATGGGCCATGGGCTATCAGTTGGAATTCTGATTCATGTTTTCTTTTGTTTTAATTTGAGCCTGCCAAAAATATCTTTTAAACAAAAACAGAAAAGTATTTGCGTCATTCGAGTGGGGCGTGTTATTCAATTTTAGATATTAAGTCATGCACTCAATTATAACTGAAAATTAAATCGTGCGTGTGATCCCATTTTAGACATTAAAAAATATATATTTAATCATGACTAAAAATACATCACACGCAACTAATGTTAGTACAACTCTTCACATAGTTGGTGATCGATTTTATATTAATAGCTTACTAAAACAATAATGAAAGATGACATTGAATTTATCTTACTTATACATATTTACAACTAACTTTTAGTCTAGCGATATTTCTCTTTTAAATAATAAAAAAATGAGATCTAAATCACTTATGTGGATTGATTAAAAATTGTATCTTAGAACCCTATAATTCAATGAATGGAAATATCACATAAATTGTTGTTTTTTTGTAAGTGCATGTGGTAGGTTACTCGGGAAGAGAGGTTCTGTTGTAATGATGGCTGTGCATTTCAACAGTTGCGGCTTGGTGGAAGAGTCTAGTGTGAGAGTTCGTAGCATAGAGTTAGAGTTACGTACATAATCAAAGAGAGGGATAAGAGAGTTGGAAGAGAAGGACCTACCATGTTTCGAAGATAGGAAAGCAGACCATGAAAATGATGGCCATTCAATTTTAATATACATATATAATTGGAGAGCATGGACCAAAACGTGGTTCCACACTCATTTCTTCTGTTTCTTACACTTTTTCTCTTTTAATTTCTCTATGTTCAACAAAGATATTTTTCTACACGCAAGCCCTCGGGTGTAAGAATAACTGCTATTATCTAAGCTACAAGCCCCTTTTAACGATAGTAAATGAATTTGTAGAAAAAAATGCAACTTTCTAAGCTATGATATTATATATAAGATCCGAAAAGGAAGAAATATGAAAAAAGCAAAGTCTAATGTGGAAGAGGTGCTTTTTACCGCTATAGTTATGAACCCCCTATTTGATTCGTTTTCTGGATTCGTATCAATATGAGACTTTTAGACCTAGGGGCAGGGGAGGCCTTTTTGAATGATTAAAATAAAAATAGTAGGGCCAACATGTAAATCCTTCTTGGGATATTTGGGTGATTCAATGTCTATAAATTTTAGAGTAATGCTACACTTACTGCATTTTTATCCCACATTTCTATACCACATGACGTGGCATGTCCATATCATATATCACATCAATTAAATAAATGAAGTGTATTTTAATAAATAAAATTAGAAAAACAGAAACTACTATTTTACATGATGTGGTATGTACAAATCAACTGCCACATCATATAGTATGAAATTGTGGTATAATAATATGGTACAACTAGTATTATTCTAAATTTTAAGTGTGTATAGACATTTTTGGGTGCCTATAGAATCACCCAACATTTGGACCCAAAGAGAGGGAGTGAATTATGTTGAACATGGACTCTACAATACAAAGCTTGGTTCTTAGACCTTGTAGGCTTTATATTATGTGGTGCCATCACCAATCATCAATTACCTTTAGTTTTTTTATAAATAAATAAAAATAAGTAAAACTTAGGAAGTGTAACCCGACTCATAGAATTACTCATACCATAAGGGCGTCCTCAATAAAATTAAGAGCACCTCTACCCATACCAACGAAATCTCTTCAAACAAATCAAATTTTAGCAAGCCTATGTGCAACGCTATTGGATTCTCTAGGACTAATTGAAACGAATACTCAGAGATCATTTGCGGGAGACTCTTAACATCTTAAAAAATAGCCCTAGACATATCATTGCATCTTCTTCATCAATTACCTTTCTTTTTGCTTGGTGTGATCAAATTGTAGATGTATTTTTCATCAAACAATTACACGATATATACAAAATTTTCTTAATACTACTTAAAACACAAGAATTCTGAGATTACAAGTTACAATGAAAGCCAAGCGCCTTATCATAGAAAAAGCACTTATTCAGAATCATCAAAACACACACGATTTTTACTTTCTTACAGAAGATTTATCTGTGTGTTAGATGACAAGTCATTATGTAATTGTCTATTTTTACTTTCTTACAGAAGTTATGAACCCACCCACCCCTGCTCTGCTTCCGTGCATGCACTCAATAAACACCATGTCGACGTCTGATATTCCTTAATAAAAAAGATAAATGCAAGGAGAAAAAGAAAGAAAAAAAAATTCAACTTGACCAAAAAGCCTTGTTGCTTTTTCACTGTGTTACCTTACTTCTCCCCTGAAATTTTCACTCCAAACAAAATCCACCATTAGAGAATTCTTTATTTGATAATTCCACATGCTCCAAATCCAGCTCATTTATCTTATGTGTATAAATATGCTTTTTTCAAAAGTTTCAACAATAAGCTTTTGACTTTTTGGGCAGCGGCCAGTTGAAAAAATATCCTGTGCTTCTTTAAAGAACGATACTCTTGGATTGTGAAAACAACAAGGTAACCTTATTTTTCGCTCTTCTTGTCATCATCCCACGAGTTTAGAGGTTACATCTGGTTCATCATACACCACGATTGAGCATAAAAGAATTGATCATATATTCTTTTATAGAGTTGAACATTTAATCCTTTTCTTTTTGTCAATAGTTAAAACATTTGAACATTTACTACACCCCTTTCAATTATACGAAAGTTTTATTTTGTTGAATTGAAACAATCAAACTTAAATTAACATGAATTTTTACGGCGTCATTTCATATTCATTTCACTATGTTAACTCTAAGTTAGGCTTCACATGCTTATTTCGTATACATTTTATTATTTTCTAATAAAAGAACGATAATATTTTATTGATAAGATTTAAATAAATTATAAATTAAATTAAATAAATAAAGCAAGTACAAAGCAACTAAGGTGTTAAATATGGATACAACTTCTCCAATAACCAAACACAACAAGTAAAATTGATCTAGATAGAATACGCATAACCCAAAAAATTATTAAAATCACCGAATCAATAATCAAAAGCATATGTACTCAAACATCAATAAAGATTTGTCACGCAACATCAAAAACATCAAATCCGTATCAAAAGCCAAAAGCCAAAATAAAATTATTTATAAATAAATAAAAACCACATCAAACTCCTATAAAGTTCATGGGAATTATTAGACTAACACAAACTAAAAAACAAGACCACCGCTCCACATCCTCTTGGGCAACCTGAAGAAAGCCATAGTGTCATATCGGCTAAATCTATAGTGTCGCACCAACTAAACCCGAACCCGACATTATCTAAGCTTCGTAGCTTCAAATCTATATCTAAGGGTGACAACTTGAACCAATCTTATATGTCTGGGCCAAAAGACAGTGACTATATTATGGCTATGACAACGTCTCATGGTAATTGCTTCTACATCACAAAATAAAACAAAAAACAAAGAATCCATAGGAAAAAAGTGTTAAATTCAGAGAGACTGGACAACGACCCACTACTGACAACATCGATATTGTCCCAAACTTAACCACCTACAAAGCCCAGTAGGTGTGGAGTTTTATCACAAAAGGCATCAGTGATATTAGTAGCAGAACCATTCATTATATCTTGTAATTTATTTAGTCAAGTTTCAGATGTAGAACTTATATTCTTCAACACGCCCCCTCACGTGGGACCACCATATAATGGGCCACACGAGGAGCCAAGTCAACATCAAAGTAAAAAATTTAAGCCCAACACATGAACACCACATATTGGGTAAGGGGTAGGGGTAAACATTTAAGCCCAACATGTGAACATCACATATTGGGTAAGGGTAAAGGCCCAATTCAGGCTTAGTCAATCAACTCGTTCTGATACCATGTTAAATTTTAGAGAGACGGGCCTACAACCCCACTACTAACAACACCGATATTGTCTCAAACTTAACCACCTATAAAGCTCAGTAGGTGTGAGGTTTTATCACAAAATGCCTCGGTGATATTAGTAGTGAAACTATTCATTATATCTTATATTTTATTTAATCAAGTTTCCAATATAGGACTTATATTCTTCAACAAAAAGGAAGGGAATTATAGGAAATGTGATGATAGGAAAGAAAATGGATGGAATAGTAAGGGTGGCCGCCAAGTTGA